CTCTATCGCTGTAACACAAAGCAACAAGAAATATTTGTATATGAATATTTGAAAAATGAAGAAGGGGACTTGTGTGGCCCTGACGCTCAATGTATTAATGAGAAAAGGTCTGGCTGAGAGAGTTCCCTCCTCTACCTGTCAAATCTCCAAGTTTCAGTGGGCCCATGGGAATGCCAAACTCCTCTATCACCTGGTCTACCTGGTGGGGATAGGCACCTTCCTCCAGCAGACGCTGAGCCTTAAAAATAAAATATTTTTTAAAATCAAATCAAATAAAATAAAATATTTATTAAAATAAAATAAAAAAAGCAAAATAAAATGAAATGAAATGTAATAAATCAAATTAAATAAATAAATAAATAAATAAATAAATAAATAAATAAATAAATAAATAAATAAATAAATAAATAAATATATGTTTTGCACAAAGAACAACCACTTTTAACCTATTGCAATGATTTAGAAATCTATGTATGATACCCTATCAAATTTGACTTGTTAGTGACCTAGTGAGACATGTTCAACCAATTGCACTTATCAAAGAAGGTTAACTTTGTATAAAACATATTAATGGAAATAAGTACATCAAAGAAACTTTATCATAAATGTGTCTACCTCTGTTGTGTACGGTGCCATCATCCTATTACCAACAAAACCATGGCAGTTACCAACCAGGACAGGCACCTGTGAGTAAAAATAATAGCATTCATTATAAACATATCATAATGAGAGCCTTAAAACATGATAATAAAAAAAAAATCATGTAATACATTATGATATATAATTAATATATAATTCCTTTGTCAGACTTATAGAAGACAACTGTGCTCATAATCAAAGACTAGGTTGGTCAACAACCAAGTCAACATCCTTAAAACTGAAGATAAAATTTTAATTACAATGCTAAATCGAGAAAAGGTATCTGGTTTAGAAAGGTGCATTTACACTGTGCCAATACTCTACACTTCTATTCAACCTACAGACAGTGCACTGAAAAGAATCAATGTCTCTTCCACTGAAGACACTTAAGTTCCAAAAGTCTCAAAAAGGAAAACTCTTTTACTAACTTCTTGACAAAAATTCAATATTAAATAATGCATCCACAGTAGTGCCCTACCTTTCCAATCTTGACTGATAGTTGTGTTACTGTGGCAACAGTCTGTGGTGACGTCTCGGCACCCCGTATGTTCTCCAGAAGTTTCATGTAGTAGGCAGGGGCAAAGAAATGCATTCCCATTACTCTGTCTGGTCTCCTGGTCGCTGAGGCTATCTATAGTTTAAATAATCTATAATTATAATCTATATTTCAAATAATAAAACAAATAATTATTAAACACAAGAGAAAATCATAATATTATGGTGGCAAAACTCATTGGAGAATTTATTTCAATATTAAGTGGTATGCAAATTTTGCTAAACAAGACAGTAAAAACATCATCAGAAAAGAACAATATGAGAAAACAGCTTGAAAAATAATTTGATTTTGCTTAAAAAAAAGAGAAAAAGAAACACCATGAATACAAGATGCTTATAAAGATAAATCTAATTTAAACTTTGTAATAGAGATGCATTTCTTTGCCCCTGTCTCTTTTGCTTTACCTTGTCTATATTCAAAGTGGATGTATTGCTACAGAGTAGAGCCTCCTTTTTACACACTTTGTCCAACTTGCCAAATACTTCCTGTTTCAATTTCATGTCTTCAAATACTGCTTCTATAACCTTGGGTGAAAAAAGTATAATCCATTATTGCCAAGACAAATGATCAATGTCATTTGATAAAAATTGTTACATATAAGCATTAATCTTAAATAGTCCAAATTTTTGCCCATTCCTCCAAACTTTTAGACTAAATAAATAAATAAATAAAAATCAAAAATTATAAATTAAAAAAGCAAGCCACTGGACATCAATGGTTAGTGCTGAAATGTTTGACAAAATGTGACTCTCGCACTGCAGGTAATAACATAAAAATCTTTAATTAAATTTTATTGAGCACGGAAATATTTTGGATGATGATGAAAATTGTAACATAATCTTCTTTGCAAAGTTTAACATCAGTAATTCCCTGACCTGTAAAAGTATCATGCCTACACTGCATATATGAAGCACCTGTGCCATCAAAAAAATGCTTATAATTCCAATTTTTATTAAATTTTTTTATCAAAAAACCATGTCTGAAAAACTTACTACATCAACATCTTTTAAATCCTCGTATCTTAAACTTGGCTTCAGCAGTGACAGCGTCTTCTTTGCATCTTGCTCTGACATTTTGCCCAACTTGACACTCCCTGCATACAGGCCCTGTATCATCTTAACGCCTCTGTCTAAAAACTGAAGATACAGACACACATTTAATTACAGAAATTATATACTGGTATAGGCATTCTTTTCTTAGGCTTCGTTCACATGCAATGTCTATTTTCNGAGCGTAAAAACAATCCCGATGTTTTGTTAATGCGTTATTCCAAAATTAATAAATGTATGAATTCAGAAAGAATGAATGAAAGAAATAAGATGATGGTAATAATTATAACAACGGTGTTATTAATATTAAATGAGTGTGTGACAGAAAGGTCGGGTTGCTAGGCATTTTTATTTAATTATCTGCTCCATTTCTAACTCTAAATAACTAATATCCACTCAACTACCGCCACAACGGGCCATAAATCTGCCAAAATTGCTATTCGTTCACTCACTTAATCTCCCCATTTTTTCATCGCGCAGAGTTTCATGGACATTAGCATGCATCATTTGTAGAAAATGGCGAAGAGAGCCACGAATGAAAGCTATCTATCACTCTCCTTCAGTGCGTAGGTAGTTGACGAAATAATTAGATTTTCTGTAATGGAGTCATAACGTCACTTTTACAGGGAATCAATCTTCCTGTGATACTAATACTGTTTAGACTAATACTGATCGAAAAGGTGGGTAACATAAAAAAAGTCTCACTGGTTCAAAAATCGAAGATACAGGGTAGGCATTAACTGGTTAAAGACGCAGTGAATTAATTATGGCGTAAGTAGTCAGGTCCAGGACAGATTACCAATTCAATTCAATTCAATTCAATTCAATTTATTTTATTAAAGTCTCACCCATAGATACAATTAAAAACAAACAATAAAAATTAAAACAGTCATCAGGCAGTTCTTTAGAGAACTATGAGAGACTAGAAAAAAAAAAAAACAAAAACTAATTACAGTTTAAATACATAAAATTTCTTCTTAATTCTAAGACAGATTACCAACAGAGCAATCCACGTAAAATAGGTTTTTTAACGCGATCGACACATAATGTTTTAATTTCGGTCGTTCAGCAACTAATGAAGATTAAATATTTTTAAATAAAGTCATCATGTCATTTAAAGTCATCATGCTTGTAAAATATTAATGTTCGCAAACATTCCAATACAAGTAATTCGTTGTCTTCACCCTTAAGTGTTATTTTATCATTATTACTTTAGGGAGTGGGGGGTTCATAACAACACTCAATATTCGGTCAAATCATTTGCGTCATTTTCTTTTGTTCGTCTAAAACAAGTTCCTAGCAATTACGTATGCCGTAATGGAAAGTCGAGGACTTCCTCTGAACTTAGAAAAATAACTTGGCGTAGTAGTCAGGGTGTTTACAGTCACTTGATCCCAGGCAGTAATGCTATGGAGTTATTATATACCTGGGAGTTTGGTGGAGTAAGCCAGGGTTAATTAATGCTTGGGATATAAAGAGGAGGGTGGAGGTGGGGGTGGGGAGATCAAGAGGTTGACATCACTTCCACAACGATATTGACTTCGGCCTATAGCTTTTTATTAGGTTTTTATCAGGTGGGGTCTTTTACTGTAAATGTGGACATGAGAACGACATAAATCTTAGATGATATTTTGAGCCAGAGGAGACTTTTCCCGACCAGTGTTTTTTTTTTTTTTTTTTTTTTTTAGCGACCCCCCCCCCCCACGGCAGGCCAACGGCCATATTATTTTCCACTTTAAATCAGATGGCAACTTTTCTCTTAATATCATGTTTCGTATCTTCCTCCTCATCCATTCACATATTTCGTGTCGGTGAAATTCTTGAAATCAAAAATCTATGACAAGGTGTGCATCCCAAAACATTCACCTGAATTTGATCACAGTACATGTACGCCATGCTAAAGCGTGCGACATGGATGTACATGTACAGTGCAGCTTTGGCGGTAGAACGGAAATCGATAAAAACTTCAGTCCTAATCACGGCGTTAATGGCTGGCATAACGGCGAATGTTTTCACCTTATCAACGCCAAACACAAACAGTTCTTTCCCTGACGTCAGCCTCTAGGGAGTGGAGGCGAGTTTAATCTGTGCCGCCCAAACAACGAGGTGAAAAACTTCAATATTATCGAGTGCCATATTAATATCATTTGCTATATATCGCAGTGCATTTTCATATCGTTATAATTGCCGGGGATGGACACTTATCGATACCAGACACATATCTTGGTTAAAAATGAGCGCCTTATATTTCAATTTGTTTGCAATAATCGGCATTGTAATCTACGCCCAGAGCTTCAAAATCCAATGCAGACACGTTGCCAACTCTTATAAATACGGACAGCAGGCTGGTTTCCCGCCAGATAAAGAGATCGTCTGCGAGAATCTGAAACCGACAGTCCAATCATATAAAAATGCCAGATTCCCTAAAAATTATACATTTTATAATTTTTGCTTTCAAAGATTTACTAAAACCGATTTTCTTTTTTATTCTCTCAATGCCGCACAATGTGGCGAATTATTTTATCGACGGTGAGATTTTTACCATCTCACATCAAATATTCAGAGCTCACAAAAATACCTTTAAAACGGTGTTCATATCACAAAATGGGGCACATACTGGTTATGTCGCGTCCGCTTTTGGCTGGATCAATTAAGTGCGTGTTCCGATCAATCACAATAATAGCACTTAATTAAGATCAAAACTGCAAAAAAGATAAAATCAACTTATTAATTTTTCAATTATTAAAAATGTTTTGTATTTATTCAGTCCATAGTCATTTTATAAAAATATAAATTATCATATATATTATTCTGCAACAATTTTTGTATATCAACAATTCAGTAACAAATACTGCAAGTTTGTGATGAGCATGCATTAATTACAAGTAAATAGCATAAAGTTATACAAGAAGCACCTTAGTTTCACAAAATCTAGAACAAATTTTCATTCACATTAGACTTTTTGATCAAAAGGAAAGTTCCCTCGACCCCAACCCAAACCCCCAAATGCATCTTCAGCATTTCTAATCAGCTGACGAAAACCCTAAATTACGTGTTCACAAACATTTCATTTCAAAAAACTGCAAAATACTGATTGGTCTTGATGGCTATAAACAAGAAGCCACACATTTCTCTAGTTGAAACATCATCTGTTTTCATCTAATCTTAATATGCCTATACTACCCTGTAGTATTACTGGTATCAAAGGACACATTGCAGTAATAAAATTTTCATGAAGCTTGAAAATATGCCACTCTGTTGGAAGCAAGAACATGGCACTGTTCTTGGCTCTTCAAAGCCAGATTGCAATGAAATGATAATAAAATGTCATTTAAAAATTGGCATCAAGATCATTGCACCTTTCATGGACATCATTTACTATAATTAAAATTAATATTTAATTGATATAAATTATTCATTTTTTCATACCTCAGACAAGGTTGTTGACAACGATTTCTCTATCCAAGCTTAACAATAAGGTGGCGCCATCTATGTATATGTCAACAAATGCCACTAAAATGTGATATATTACCCAATTGACAAGGTAATATGACTCAAGACATTTCTTTAAAATATTTGTTTTAAATCAATCCGATCGGGCATTCTACGTATTCCATGCCTAATTTAATGCAACCTAAACTTCTGATTAGGTCATCTGGATGTGACTCTGATTTAAACTGGTTCTGCTCTGAATACATCCAGAACCTAATCCTCTCTACAGCCTGCTGGTGGTGGAGGCAAACTGTCCCCACTGGGCCAAAGGAACAGGGTGCTCTTGCTGTGACAGAGTCTTCAGAAGTCTGCTGGGGGTCCAGTGATCTCTGTCAGCTAAATGGGACAAATGTCAAATTAAATTTCAGGTAATATTTAATAAGATAATTTGTCACAAAATGCAATTTACAAGTATGTGCTAGTCACGCCCATGACTGAGTGCATGTACTGCGTGTATGCACACACACACACACACACATAACAAAATTCACATATTTTTAAATTTATAAATTAATATACCTAGTCTAATACTATTATGGGAGTGTGATGCCTTCAAGACCCGTAACTATGTTGATTGTAATGAACTGACAATATTATGGATAAATTTTAAAACAAATTAAAACTGAAAAGCTACAACTACAATAACATGTTGTATATAAGCAACTTTATTATTCTTGTATCAAAAGTAAACACAAGACAAGAATGATATTTTCACTGAAAAATGATATTCTTATCTCACCATTAAACAATAACCCCTCTCCCCCTCTTAATATCATGGCTACGCAAGGGTATGTTTATATAGGGTATTTTCACTTACGATACTTGTTGTGGTAATACTCAATCCTGCCATACAGTCTCCTCAGTCCAATCTGGGAGGCGAAGTGCATGGGTCCGCCTGTGTACCTAGGCCACCCATAACCTAGCAACCTGGAGAGACAGGATGAGAGACAGTTAAAGGCATACTGGACATTTCTGTCTTTTATTTTCCTGTTTATTTATATATTTATTTCTTATTCATTTTGTATCTGAATAAAACAAGTTAATGACAGATAAGCATGATCATGTTGAGTCAAAAATGTCTTATTTAAATATAACATTTTATCAGTTCAAAGAAGGAAAAGAACAAACAAACAAACAAACAAACAAACAAACTATAGAGAAAGTTAAGGCCATGGATGGTGGTGCACAAAACATTTGAAATCAGGAAAAGGGGCTTATTAAAATGAGGTCATCATGAAACTCTTAAAACATGATTTGGAAAACAGATTTGACTTCAGCATTTTGTACAAATAAACAAGCTGAAGTTTTCAATGGGCATTAATTATCAAACTAGAAAAGCACTCCAAGAGCGCAGACCTCTGCCAAGGCAGCAATTTTTTATTATTATTGATTGATTATTGATCCGGATCACCACCAAAAACTAATCACTTCTAAGTTAACCCATTTCTGACCTACCCTGAAAATTTCATCAAAATCGGTCCATAACTTTTTGAGTTATGTTGATGACAAACAAACAGACAGACAGGGGTGAAAACATGACCTCCTTGGCGGAGGTTTTATATAAAGTATTGAAACTGAGATTAAAATCTTGAGGTGACCACTGACCAAATGATGTCCACATCCTCTGGTCTGGCAGCAATACCCTCCTCCAGAGTCTTAAATCCTTCATTGATCAGGCTGTAGAGACAGCGCTCGTAGATCTCCTATAGAACACAATATAATACATTCCAATACAATACGATACGGAATGATACGATAAGATACAATACAATACAATACAATACAATACAATACAATACAATGTGATTCGATACAATTCAATACAATGCAATGAATATGGTAGAATGGACTTGACATACAAATGATCTGAATGACCTTCTCATATGGAAAGGCATGTACATTGCTTAATATGCCTAAGGATCTCATAAAGTAGCTATCTATCTATTGATCAACTGACTGAGAGTATGTGTTTCTGTTAACAAGCTCATAAAATTGATTATAAATATTTTTTAAAACTTTTCTGTGATACGTACACATTATTTTGTGGGGAAGGGAGCATTTCTATTCTATTAATTTTGTTTAAAATGTCAGAGTAATAACGATACCTGAGGAGGAATCCTTCTCCTGTCAATGCCCTCCTCCCTACAGTGGTGGTCAATGATGTCCATCACTAGGGGGTCAGGTATGGCTACCTTACTACCTGCCTTCTCGTACTTGTAAAATCCAGCTCCTGGGAGGATGAAGAAAAAGTACCTTATTTAATTTTTTTTACAAATAATAAAACATTTTGAAGTAATTTACTTAATTCTTCTTTGAATTTTCTTAAGAAAAAATAAACCTATTTACTTAATTTTCAGAACTTTTGAAATTATGGTTTTTTAACTAAATGTTACTTTGAACCTTTCTTTATTGAAAATACATGACTGAATTTTTCTATCAACATTTTATAGTTTGTAGTTCTGGGAAAGTATTTTTAAATAACCTCAAAAATGCACTTGTCACATAATGTCAATATTGAGTAACTTATTATTGCAGAAAATATTTTAGTATTCTTTTTTCCTTCTTTCTTTCTGAAATAACTGCCCCTTCCCTGTTACTCATCTCTTCCTCAACTCACACTTTTTCTCCTAATTATTAACATTATTATTTTCATTTATGTTTTATTTATGCTAAAATAGTATGCAGCGGCTGCCTGCAAGCACTGACATGACTTTCACTAGCAAGTTTGTACAGGCCCGTAGCCAGGAGGGGGTTCGGGGGGTTCGAAAGAACCGCCCCTTTTGCTGGGAAAAGGTCCACTCTGGGTAAAATTTGATCTAGGTGCATTAAGTTTTTATGGAAAAAGGTCCACTTTTTCAGAAAAAGAACCCCCCTTTTGAAATTGCTGGCCAAGGGCCTGTAGTATGTATCAGTATCCGTCCTGCACCGATCTGCAAACTAACCAGTTTTTCTCCCAAGCCTCCCCTTCTCATAAAGAGCATTTCTGACAGGAAAATAAAGCCCAAAAGGTTCTACGTCCTCCCTTTTAGTGTGATCCAAACCCAGCATCCTTGAAACCTCTCTCGTAATCTTCCAAGATACATCAAGTCCTGAAATGCCACAAGCAAAAAAGCAGGGTTCAATTTAAAAAAAAAAATGATCTGATGAATGAAAAACTGACCTGTTTTTCTTCCATAACGGCCCATCTCATAGACTTTATCTCTTATTGGCGAGTAGAGACCTCTAGCTTTCATTTCTTCCTTGTTTTTGCTGTCAATGCCCAGATTTTTAAGCAACTCACGTCTGATTTTCCAGCCTACATCAATCCCTGAGTAAACAGCAGCAGATAAATATCTATCACTGAGTTACATGTAAAAAATCCCATTTTTTGGAAAATATTAGTATATAGCACTTTGCTGTTTTTAAAATCATTTTTTCTATGCATCCCTTTTGTACATTTGCAACCTTTAAAACCCTTAAAAATATACAACTTATATTAAAACTTAAATGAAATTTTGCATAATATAATTTTTGCTTTAGTCAGAATAACATTAAGCCACTTGTTTGATACATGTAAACTCCTTCATTTTTCAGTTCCCCATTTTCATAGGGCAAGGCAGCTATAGCAGATTTAATACATGCAATCTCTTTCATTTTTCACATCTCCATCTCCTTAAGGCAAAGCAACAAGAAAAATACATAATTTTATATGGACACTTGAAAAATGAACAAAGGGACTTGTGTGACCCTGCTGCTCAATGTATTTTAATATCCATCCTTAAATGAAATCCATTAAAATGAGAAGAGATCTGGCTGAGAGAGTTTCTTTTCTACCTGTCAGATCCCCAACTTTCAGTGGACCTATGGGAATGCCAAACTCTTCTATCACCTGATCTACCTGGTGAGGATAGGCACCTTCCTCCAGCAGACGCTGAGCCTTAAAAATAAAATAAAATAAAATAAAATAAAATAAAATAAAATAAAATAAAATAAAATAAAATAAATAAAATTAAATAAAAATGTAATAAAATAAAATAATAAAAAAGAAAGAAATAAAAATGTTAAAAATACGTTTTGCACAAAGAACAACCACTTTCTCCCTGTTGCAATGAATTAGAGATTTATGTATAATACCCAATCAATAAAATTGACTGTGAGTGACTAAAGACATGTTCGACCAATTGCACTAATCAAAGAAAGTTAACTTCGTATAAAACATATTAACTGGAAAAAAGTACATCAAAGAAACTTTATCATAAATATGTTTACCTCTGTTGTGTATGGAGCCATCATCCTATTACCAACAAAGCCATGGCAGTTACCAACCAGGACAGGCACCTGTGGGTTGACAGAGTAAAAAGCATTCTATTCATTATAATAAGTGCTCTAAAATATGATGATAGCAGTAAATCATCATAATACATTATAATATAATTTACAATACCTAGGTATAAGATATAGAAGTACACTGTACTCAGAATCACAGAGTACCAGTAGGTTGTTAGACAACCAAAACTGAAGATTAAATGCACATTACACTGCTAAATTAAGAAAAGGTATCTGGTTTAAAAGGTCCATTTAAACTTCAATTAATACTCTACTTATTCTAATTAATCTCTAGGCCCAATGTGATCAAGACAAGAACATGTACATTAATATAATCCCAGTGTTACTCAGGGGCGGATCCAGAGCTATTTTCTGACAGTCTTCCAAATTATCCTTGTTGATCCATCCTCCAATTTGGACTGTCTTCCGACAGAAAAAAAGTTGATGCCCGTCAATGTAAACTTGAAAATCTGACCATCTTCCGGAAGACCCAGAAGACGTTTCAATCCGCCCCTGTTACTAGAAGTTAGTTGTCTGAATGTTGTAGCAAGCAGTGGCGATGAAAATGGAAAGAAGAACACAGGGATGCCAAAAACCTACTTCATAACTAAAATTCAATACCAAATATTGTGTCCACAATAGCCCCCTACCTTTCCAATCTTGACTGATAGCTGTGTTACCGTGGCAACAGTCTGTGGTGACGTCTCGGCACCCCGTATGTTCTCCAGAAGTTTCATGTAGTAGGCAGGGGCAAAGAAATGCATCCCCATTACTCTGTCTGGTCTCCTGGTTGCTGAGGCTATCTATAGTTTAAATGGTCTATAATTATAATCTATATTTCAAATAATAAAAATGCTTACTGAACACAAGAGAAAATCATATGGTGAAAAACTGGGGGACAGATTCTGAATTGTTTCATAGAATGTGGCAAAATGTGATTAGCGAATTTATTCTAATATTAAGTGATATGCAATTTTTGTAAAGAAGTCAATATATCATCAGAAAAGAAGAATATGAGAAAAAAAGCTTGAAAAATAACTTGATTTTACAAAAAGCTTATAAGGATAAATCTCATTTGAACTTTGATTTAAAAACTGTCTCTTTCACCTTGTCTATATTCAAAGTGGACGTATTGCTACAGAGTAGAGCGTCCTTTTTGCACACTTTGTCCAACTTGCCAAATACTTCCTGTTTCAATTTCATGTCTTCAAATACTGCTTCTATAACCTTGGGTGAAAAGGTATAATCCATTATTGCCAAGACAAATGATCAATGTCATTTGATAAAAATTGTTACATATAAGCATTAATCTTAAATAGTCCAAATTTTTGCCCATTCCTCCAAACTTTTAGACTAAATAAATAAATAAATAAATAAATAAATAAATAAATAAATAAATAAATAAATAAATAAATAAACAAAAATTAAAAATAAAAAAAGCAAGCCACTGGACATCAATGTTAGTGTTGAAATATTTGACAAAATGTGACTCTCGCAGTGCAGGGAATAACATAAAAATCTTTTATTAAATTTTATTGAGCACGGAAATATTTTGGATGATAATGAAAATTGTAACATAATCTTCTTTGCAAAGTTTAACATCAGCAATTTCCTGACACGTAAATGTTTCATGCCTATACTGCATATATGAAGCACCTGTGCCTTCCAAAAATGGTTATGATTCCAATTTTAATCGAAATGTCCCATGTCTGAAAAACTTACTACATCAACATCTTTCAAATCCTCGTATCTTAAAGTTGGCTTCAGAAGTGACAGCGTCTTCTTTGCATCTTGCTCAGACATTTTGCCCAACTTGACGCTCCCTGCATACAGACCTTGTATCATCTTAATGCCTCTGTCTAAAAACTGAAGATACATACATTTAATTACAGAAATCAGGCCCGTAGCCAGGGGGGTTCGGAGGGTTCGAAAGAACCGCTCCTTTTGGTGGGAAATGGTCCACTCTGGGTAAAATTTGATCTAGGTTCATGAAGTTTTTATTGAAAAAGGTCCACTTTTTTAGAAAAAGAACCCCCCTTTTGAAATTGCTGGCTACGGGCCTGGAAATTATATACTGGTATAGGCATTCTTTTCTTACTTTTTGTATGCACTCTACGCCTTTGGCTTGTTTCACTATTATGATAATCATGAATAATCATTTGTAAAAAGGGCAGAGAAAAGAAAAGAAAAACCAATATAGCTGGCACATTTTGAAGTTTTAATCAAAATTATAAATGTATGTCCCTTTAATATTGCACTCTTTCTGGAAAGTCTCTTTGGTCTATTGGAAAGTGAGACTATTTTCTTTATTATTTTACTCAAATTTTTTTTATACATAACAGTTGCAATATATGAGTTAAATCTAGTAATTATTATTTATTAATGGATCACTTTATACATGCAAGTACAATGTATAAAAATAATTATTGCAATAAATGTCACAGAAAAATTCATAAAAGGAGATTAAATATGAAACATTAACAAGGTATCAAGCCTGAGATTAAGATTCATATAAAACAGATTTATTGGTGCTATTCTGATTGAAGTCATTATCCTGTATGTGTATCTAAAACATCTAAAAATGCACTGCAGTTTCTATATATTTGATGACCTACTTATGTGTTACTCATGTCTAAATTTAGCAAAATCTTTTATTGGCTGAGTGCCATGTAAACAAAGGTGGCTGCTTTTTATTGGAGGAAACTAATGAAAGGCCTGCATGTGTAAACAGCATAGCAATCGATTTTCAAAATCATAAAGAAAGTAAAACCCTGGGACTAACGAAAAAAAAGTTAGCAGGGGGCATAACATGGGATTATATGCATGCAGACACCTGGTGTATAAAGACAGCAGATAGATGGATTATATAAACAAAAAAGGTTAGTCCATATAGGTAACCAGGGTGGGGTAGATGTCTGACCTAGATATTAACTTGCTGCAGCATATAACAATATCAAATAAATTGGCTTGTCTAAAAACAGTCAATAGCAGTCAATATATTTTAAAGAAATACTACTAAGACATTTGCACTTGATTTTGAGATGAAGCAGACCTGGTACTGTTTTGTGTTTGACTTAATTGACTCTTAATTTGCTAAACCCTCACTGAAATGCAGGGGGCATCTTGATAGTCCAAAGGTTCATCGGTCCAAAAATCATATGCACTCCCCTATGGTGAACTTTACATTATTAGCAGTACATTATACACTTTATTCAAACATTAATTTGGACTAATAAACCTTCGGACTATTGCTACATTCCTGTACTGAAGAGGGCATATGTGCCCACATAACACGCTTCTAAACTGTGCTTAACTAAACTATTACATTAAAATGTTTTCTATCCTTTCCAATGAAGAGTGTGTTAGCACTTGGCACCCCTCAATCGGTTATTGCACTGTGAGCAGATTACCTTAGCTTTATCTTTGACAAATATTTAACTACATAACTTTATATCTGACATTTATCTTACTTGGCAACATTTCCAATCAATAGGTCAACTTAAAGTGAGGTATATAATGTAGACTTTGTAACAGCCTCTATAGATCACACCTGCTTATACACCTTCTGCTGAAGACTCTGAAGAATTTTTAAAAAGGGGCCGAACTTGCTGGCCCTACATATTTCTAATGTAAAGCACAGGGCAAGATTTGAAAGTTGCAATGGATACTTTTAATCTAAAACACTCATAACTGAGAATTAAATATTTCAGCTATATTTTTCATTTTCTTTTTTCATTTTTAGGATCAAAATGGCTGGTGATTTAGCAGCGAATGTGACAGACAACATCCTAACATGTCCAATATGTCTGGAGACATTTGATGATCCACGTGTGCTGCCATGCTACCACACATTTTGTCTTGGGTGCATCAGCGATCACGCCAGAGTAGAGGGACAGAGGACCTCTTTTCATTGCCCAATGTGCAGAGAAACAATTGACATTCCAAAGGGAGGATTACGGAATCTCAAAAAGAATTTTGTCTTTCAGAAAGTTAAGACAATAATAGACGAAAGCAAATCTCGACCAAATACTACACAAAAAGGCCATTGCGCCACTGACGACCTACCTCCAGGAAAACGACAGGATGCTGATTGGTCATTACAAAACTGTGAAGAACATCCTGGCAATGAATTGCGCTATTACTGTCAAAACGACGACACCATTGTGTGTGCTGACTGCATAGTTACCAGACACCGCGGACACAACTGTATGCCTCTCACAGAAGTTGTTGGCAAAAGTCGAGCCCAAATCCAAATTCTCCAACAAAAAGCTCTCAAGAAGCTTTCAGCGATTAGACAAATAGAACAGAATTTTGATGCAAATATTCCATTACTAGTACAAAATGAAGAAGCCACGCTTGAGGCTATCGATAAACAAGCAGAACAACTCTATGCCATAATAACAGAATCAAGAGAGAAGCTGAAAAATGAGACAAGGACAGCTTTTAAATCAGAAAGGCAGAAGTCTGAATCTTATAAAAATGACCTTGACCTTCAGAAGGCCATATTGGACTCCACCTGCGAGTTTGCACAGCAACTTCTCACAAATGGCTCAGATTTTGATATCATGATGCACACCAAAATGCTGAAAGAAAGGTTTGGTCAAATTGAACAGGTACAGCTGTCAAATTTTGAGGACACAGAGCTGGTGACATTTGTCCCTGGTAACATCACCAACAGCAGTGTAGCAGCACTGCTGGGAAAAGTCGCTGTCAAAGTGAGAATTTTGAGCCATATTAAATTCCTAATACCTTGATACAAACTTGAATGATTTAAATTAATAACTTCATTTGTAATTTTCTTATTTATTTTCTTCATTCTACAATTACAGTCATGAATCAACTTCTAGGAATATGGTGATTTACAGGTAAAAGTAAACTGCTATAAAATGCACAATACTACATTTTTTTCATAATTTACAATAATATTTGACATGTTATGCACGTGAATGATATAAACATACTAAAATCTAGATACAAGATATAAATAAAAAAAATTACATTATGTAGGAAAGTGAATCAAGGAACACTAGACAGCAGGAAAAAGGTGAAATCCATCCAGAACAAATTCTTCCAGAATCTCCTAAATGTCTTCCCATACAAGCAAGAGGAGTTTACCAAGACACAAGCCGACAAGTACATGTACCAAAGTTATTACTTGCCTCTGATACTCCACTCATAAAAAATGAGGTGGTAAAGAATCCTAAAGGTGTCAAAAGGAGATCAGATCTACCTAAACCTCCATATACACCTGGTCATACTACCCACACACTACCTGTGCGTCCTGCAAGTCCTAGGCAGGTGGCCTCAGCTTCAAGAGGAGCCCAAGAGAGAAGAAGAAATTCTAAGCCACAGAATCACTACACAGACCTTGCTGGCATTCTTAGTGGTAGCTTGTATTGAGGTACATGTAGATCTGCTATGGACAGATCCTGATGAAATTCATCCAAGACCGTCAAAAACAAAGGCTGTTGGCACTGTGTGGAATCATTTGAGACAAGAAAATGTTTGAGAATCTCCGAAGTGGAGTTAACTTTTCAGGTATAGGGAAAAAGTCAGTGTGTAGGAAATGCCATTTTGGAAAATGATCACACAAATCTGACATGCAAGACATGGCACATTCAGATGGTTGTGTAAGATTGTAATTCAACAGGACATTACTGGGAAATTTCTGAATCTAGGCTCTGTCAGCTATTATTCAATGCACCCCAGCACTTGCTAGTCTGCCCTTATTTCTGACACCACTCTCTACTTATTCTCACAGAATCCCACTTGATTTTACACTGACTGTCTTCCGGCCTAGCTGCATTGAACTAAGACAACTCAACAAACTTCACATCATATGATGGGTACACAAGTCTCTTTTATGAAAATTTTGAGTGTTTTGTAATAGAACCAGAAGGCTGTCAAAATCCATCCCTGCTACTGCAACAACAAAGAGAGAATAGGTTCATAGACTGAATCATTTTCATCAGAGACATTAACATGAAAGTTTACAAAAACAATAATTTGAAAGAATGAGAAAAAAAAGTTACGCTGCTGTTCACCAAACAAACACTGGTTTGAACAAATCAGCACTATCAGTAACCTTCACTCCACTAAGGTATTGCTAAGTTAGTAATTTTTAATTTACCACAAGCATAATCTGTATATTTTGAAATGTTCTAACATTGAATTGAAATTTAATATTATTTCTAAAAATAATTTTGTTATAATTGTACCTGTTCATGTAACAGAGATATTTACACTTAAAACAAACTGAATATTTAATGATATTCTTAGAAGTAATAATTGTTCTTGTACTTGATTATTTATACAACTGTGGTTAGTTTATAAGTTTTATAGTTAAAGATTACACAGTAGACTGAGAATGAATGCAACAATTTTCTAGGCACATGTTATTCCATTTTTGCCTGCTGTGTTATTATTTATATGACATAGTGATGTATTTATGAAGATCTACCAAAAGATGTACTAGTAATATCCAATCCAAGCTTTCAGCCCCTGGGCCTTCTTCAGGGATTTTCTTTTTACTAAATCTTCATAGATGCATCACTATGATAACTTATTTATTGCTTAAGTGGGGCATTGCTTAAACATCTATTTGGTAATTTGTTATGAATATTTATACAATGTTTAACAGAACTGATCATAAAGTTTTATTTTGCAATTTTTTCAATAACTTTTTGAAAGTTGCCAGCATCTTCAAAATATGAGTAACAACTAATAACAAATAACACAATTCTAAAGTTCAAAGCTATTAACTCTTTCATTATTCTTTATAAATAGTCTTTTGCTTACCTTTTGATTTGCCTCCACTAATATGCAAGGCAGTCCAGCATTCAGAATACACATCACAATGCCACTGCCCATGTAACCTCCCCCCACCACAGCACACGACTTCACAGGCCTAGGTGTCACTGTGGCATGGCTGGCTCCACCAGGTACTTGCCACTGGAATTAGAAATCAAGATGTTATTATATAGACAGAGAAGCTGGCAAATGTACAGACATCATAAAACACAGTGCAGGACTTCACAGGCCTTGGTGTCACTGTGGCATGACTGGCTCCACCAGGTACCTGCCACTGAAATAAGTATTATATTCCAGATGTTATTATATAGACAGAGAAGCTTGTAAATGTACAGACAACATAAAACACAGCACAGGGCTTTACTGGCCTTGGTGTCACTGTGCCATGACATGACAAGTACTTGCCACTGAAATAAGACGCCCATACATTATGACCTAGACAGCAAAGCTTGTTAATGTACAGTCAATGTGAAAAGATGAAATACTTCTGCAGCACACCAGTTAACAGACAAGAAACACATATACATTGTATTTAATGAAGTTTATAAAGATTATTTGACTGAGACAATATACAAATAAAATATTCATTCTATGCCTGGAAATAGTCATTATGATATTAATAAACTATAAACAGACACTGTCAGCCCACATACAGAATATATGTTTAGATATTCAAATGATTCAAAATAATACATCTGTACCTCTAAACAACATGCTAATATCAATCTGGTAAAAACTGTACTGTACTTGTCTGGTAAAATGTCTTCAAGACAGAAGTATAAACTCTGCCACCAAACCTCTGTAATCTTTCTGCCAAAGCCCTATCATACACAATATATTGTATATGTACCTTAGATGCCAGTCTCTCAGCAAAGAAAGCATATTGCAATGCTTTGGCTTGTCCTGAAGTCATCAGTTGTAACATAAGGGCGCTCTCTATTTTTATTCCATCTTTATATGGGGTTTGTGCAGCAACTCTCAAAGACTTCACACAGGCCTGTGATTGAAGAGAAAAGTCATAGATAATAAATAAAATGTCTAAAAGAATACAACACAAAAAATTTAAAGTGCTCACACAAAAAATTCAAATGATACAAATTTTTGCCATAGCACCTGTATTATTATCATTATTATAATTATCATCAATCGTTAACATTAAAAAAAAAATTAAAGTCACACTGCACAAGTCAAGCTATAATGGTTTGAATTATGAATAGATGATGTTATTGTGAATCTGCTTTTTCATATCTGCCTAGGGTAGCTGTCAAAGTGAGCAAGTACTAAAAAGATCTGGTATTGTGGTGCTGTAGCGGTACCTAATTATACAAGATTTCTGTTAGAATAAAATGCAATTTTGTTACTTTCAAGAAAACTTTGCTACTTTAGAGAAAACTTACCACAGGCGCCAATAAACCACTGGATTTTCTTTTCACTTCTGCCATTGCACCTGGATATTAAAGAACACTGCATTAAATGTAGCTGTCACAGTGGTAACATGCCATTATACTGTTAACCAGACATCAGCCTAGATTGGTCATGTAAAAACCTCAAGTAAAATGGGTTATCTCCATTATTAGGGAACATTTTACACAATGGCAATTTTTATATTCTTTATACTTATCCCCAAAATCAAAATCTTATTGTCTTGAAACACATTGCTGGGAGTACCTCTAGCAGAAAGAGAGAACTCAGAATTAGGTAGACGTGACATAAATTTAATTTTTTCCAAATTAGCAGATTTAATCCAACATGTATCTGAATAGTCAGAAATTTCAAATTTTTTTTCGACAATTTTACAAGTATCTATGAAATGTTTCATCTTCAGACTCATAAATTCTCAGATTTAAATATTAGTCATAGTAATGAGGGAGCTGAAAGTTAATGCACATTCTGCTCTAGTTACAGGGTATACATTAAGTAACTTACTGTTGCACAGTGCATTGGCCTGACTGACATCCGGTACGGCCATTGTGCTGACTCGTCTTCCATGCAGAGGTTGGTTCTGCACGGATTTGGCAAACTTGATTCCTTCTGTGACAACGTCACCTTGGACTATCTGTAATCAACAAGAATTATTTCACACAATTAAATCTGCCTCAAAATATGCTAACTGCACAGCTTTATGTACAATTTATTAATCCCTTGACACAATGTGTTATAGGCTCTTAGCTTTCCTATATGAATATCTCCATTCCAATTAAAAAAAAAAATTGGGAAAGTCGTTTTTACTTTCAATCAGTAGTGAGCCCCAAGTTCAATACTTCAATACTGAACATACCAGTAGGATATGACATGACACATGACATAATAACACATGCACATACACACTCACACACATATAATATATATTTTAATAATGTAATAATGTAATTAAAATTACAAATATTTAAATTAAATATCTGGCTAGTATTCCATTTCTCTTCTACATTTTTTCTCCCAACACATTCATATCTTACAGTATATTTACCAGTACCTATAAGTTTTGAAGAAATTCATTTTAACAGCACATGCGTATCCCTATCCTTATTCTATGCTTCCAAGACAAAAAGGACAAGCTCCACAAACACACCTTATCCAGAATTCCCAGTTTCAGAGCCTCCTTAGCACCCACATGGCATCCACTGGTGATAATGTCCAGTGAGGGTTTCAGGCCTATCACCCTGGGCAGTCTCTGGGTCCCCCCGGCACCTGGTAACACACCAATGTTCACCTCTGGGAATCCAACCCTGAGGAGAGAGATGAGTGGCTGAGTGAATGAGTATGTGGGTTGGCAGGTGGGTGAGTGAGTGAGTGAGTGAGTGAGTGAGTGAGTGAGTGAGTGAGTGAGTCAGTGAGTGAGTCAGTCAGTGAGTGAGTGAGTGAGTGAGTGAGTGAGTCAGTGAGTGAGTGACTGACTGACTGACTGAGCAGATGGGTGAAGAGGAGGATGAGAGGTGGGTGGGTGAGTGAATAGGTGTATGAGCAGGCAGGTAGGTAGGTGGGTGAGTGAGTTGATGAGGGTGTGGGTGAGCAGGTGGGTGAACAGGTGGGTGAGAAAGCGAGTAGTTTGGCATGTGAGTGAGCAGTAGGGTGAGTGGATGGGCAAGTGGGTGGGTAGGTGAGAAGGTGGGTTAGTGAGTTTATCAGCATTATTTCAATCATTATATGATACAACATTATCCTTATTATTTTTATTATACAAGCACATGTATTTTTAGCTTTATCATCTGACAAAACAACAAACAAAAAAATATTTGTAAATGCATTAAAATACAAAATGTCATACTTGCAAGAGGTCCCACCTATCCTATAGTGACACCCCAGGGAGATCTCCAGGCCACCCCCCAGGGCAAACCCATGGATAGCTGCTACTACAGGCTTGGTGCAGGCCTCTATCTTGTCACAAACTTCTATCAGGTTTGGAACTGTACAAAAATATTCAAAGAAAAACATAATGCACTCTTCAGACATATACATTTTATCTCAATATGTTTTTATTCTATTGTGTATTTAAAAGAATTAAAATACAATAAGTTAGTATTGAAAGATAGGCATGAAAATTGTGGATAGAAAAAATGCTGGACAGTTAAAAAAAAATGCTGGACAGTTAGAATGCGGAGGCAAATGCTGGGCAAGAGACAATCTGTACCTTGTAATAAATTAAAGTAATTTTACACACAACAAACATGCTGAAAACTATTGTAAAAGGACAGTCTGGAAGATATTTATAATAATTTTAATGGACTGCTAATTATGCCAGTTCTTCAGTCCAACTCCAACCCATCCAAAACAGACTACTTAGTAGTTTGCTGAATAGTTACATTTTTTAGCCGATCCAGATGCAAATTCTCTGATGTCTGCTCCAACTGGGAAAGTTTTTCCTTTTCCACAGATTACAATGCACTTGACACTGGGGTCCTTTTCTGCTGCTTCTATACCATCATAAAGACCTTGACGCACATGGTAGCTGTAAATTATTTGATTTCTTATTACTTTTATTTTTTAATTTTTCATAAAATTATGTACTGTATTGGTAGTTGTCAACTCACAAATTGTATAATTGCAGTTTTATCAAATAAAAGATTTTTTAAAAGTCTTTGAAAATTTGAATTATTAACTAATTTCTCATTAAAATTAAAGTGTGTCTACTATTAGAATTAATGAATAAATGGAGAAAAAAAATAAATTGATTTCAACGCTTTTACCGGAATCAATTTTCAAAAAAAAAATAAAAAATAAAAAATAAATAAAAATTATACAATGTCAAACAGACTTTCAGCAAATGAATATGATTTAATTTACAATAGTTAAAACACAGCAGAACAAGTTATTCAAATGCTTAAATATCTCTGTGCATGTTTCATTGTATGATATTATGAGTCGGGGGGGGGGGGTGCATTTTAGTATTTACAGACCGAAGTCCAAAGCTGGCCATACCTCAATGCATTCACTGGAGGGTTGTTAGCATGCAGTACAGCAACATCCCCTTGTTTTCGATAATCCGCCATTGGCCTCTTTTTTCTGAGCTTGGACGATGCCCGACGAAGCCCTTATGCACCTACCGCCTGTCCTGGTGACTGTGGTGTCAGAAAATAGTAACTTCTCAAAACTAGGTCGATAGAGCTAATGTACGTTTCTTTTAAAGTTTCGCTTAAAATTTACATCCTATTTGATTTGATATCTCATTGAACATTGAAATTTAGATAAAGCAATCAAAAAGTATATTGATTATAAATTTAAACAAGGATTTGTGTTATATTTACAAGAATAGTTAATAATTTATACTTCAAAACGTTTTACTACACAGCAAAAGAACTCTACCTCAAGATGGCGATGACAACAGGAAATGTGATCTCTCAGTACTGTCAAGTTGAGGATTTCAGCTCTCAGTACGGCGGGGAGAACTCGATCTCGTACACAGCAACAAACTTGTCGAATGAGTCAAATATATATCCAAGATATGGGGATTATACGCATGCTTGTGTACTGGTAAGTTGCATTAAGTATGACGCTTTTCCAAACAAATTGCCTCAGTGCGATTTTTGCAGCTAAGTCTGGAGTTTAGGCAAGTATCAACCGCCGCCACTTGCAATAAGAGGCCTAAAAATAAATTATGAACTGCCACAACTGGTTCTTATTATGCCAAGTTTTCTTCTGAATATAAAAACTGTTTGTTCCGTTGTTTCTATTGGTAATGATTTATGATGCTTTATGAATTTTCATTAAATGATAAACAAAATGAAAAAAAATTTATATATCAGTAAAAGGAAAATTATATTTACTTTCTTTTAATTCTGAAATTTTGTAATATTAAGCGTACCTATGGGCCCTGGTGGAAGCTAGCCCCCTCAGCCCCCAGTCCATTCAAGAGAACTCCTCCAAGCTTTACCAGTGAGGACTTCATAGGTAATACAGTGGAATGGTTTGCTTGGTCTGATTTTTAATGTGATTTTATTTTGTCCATTAGATTATACTTTTGATAAATCAAGGGCTCATTCCTATGTGATCAAGAAACATTCAAAGACAGTGTTTTGGTGGCAGATTCCTGTAATGATAGATCTATATGGATTTTTGTCTGGTGTTCTTCTCTGTGTGTATGTGTGTGAGAGAGAAAGAGAGATGGAGAGTGAGAGAGATTCATCACAACAATTGCCATATTAACTTGTTTCATATTCCATCCCAGATATCAGCTTTCACAGTAAGGTCTACCCCAGTAAATTGGAGATCTATGAGACATACAACCCTGGGGCTGTGGTGAGAATACTGGCCTGTGACTGCTCTCCACAGGAGGCACTGGAGAGGAAAATCAGGTACCCATACACAGGGTGCATGTTACAATATCCTGTATCGAGAGTATTTGTGTTTGAGATTAAAAATCAGAGCGAGGCTCAACCTTGTGTTGTGGAATATGACTGCTTGAGACAAGTGTTGTTTCTTACATGGTGGCAGAGGCCACTGTACTAGTATTTGTTTTTCACCAATCAGGTTAACTTTATACAGTTCTCAAATGATTCACAAAGTTCATATATTTGGGAATGGTTTAAGATGTTTTCATTTATTCTCTTCAGTACAGAATTAATACTTAGTTTCCCTCTGCAGTAGCATATATTAATATATTGTTAAACCAGAAAATGAACAATATTTTACTTAACAAAGATAATAACAATAATTGATAAAAAACGGACCCAATATCTTCATAAAAGAGGACTACCAATTCTGCATTATCCTGTTTTAAATAACAAAGTCTTCACACTGAAAGTTTTGCCTAAGATTATTTTGTAAACGTAGCCTCTGATGTTGTCATATGAAGTCTTTTAGTTAATTTCCTGTCAATATTAGACCTGTGTGTGAAGATGACTTTGTTTCTGTTTCAGGTGGGTCACTCTATGGTCAGGCCCTCCAGACCAGGCCAGGCAGGAGACCAGGATCTTCTCACCTCCATTGAAACCATGTCCATTTCCTACTAAGTAAGTGTGTGTGTGTGTGTGTATGTGTGTGTGCACGTGCGTGCGTGCGTGCATGCATGCGCGGGTGTGTGTGTGTGTTGTCTGGACAGAGTCATAATCAAAGGAATCATCTGTTGATCAACACTGTAAGTCCTCTGGAAGATTTGACAATTCAGGTATATATTATTTCAGATAGATGTCTAGTTAACAGTGCCTAGTTAAATATGTTTGCTAATGTTTTACTTGTTAAGAATATTTTTGTTTTTCAGTTTCCTTCGTTTAGAATTCTGTCACAGCAAGCTGTATTACTACACAGAACTGGATGCTGTCAAGTTACACGGGACAAAATCTCCTCCCAAGAACCAATGTCCAATTCATGACAACAGTCACAGTAGCAGTGTCGATGATGACACCAAGTTTAGCATCAGCAGCCTTTGCTGTTGCCCTAATAACAGGTCTGCAGCAGACGACACATTAAAGTGGGACAAGTTGTCATTGGAGGATAAGATGAGTCACATGACCTTGGATGGACCCCCTGCAGTGCATAAGAAGGATAATGGATATTTTGACAGTTTGCCTGTAAGATGAAAGTGAGGTTTTTAGGGGTAAATTTGAATAATAATCAAAGATTGTGGATATAACTAAGTCAAATACTCATAATTACTAGTAAAATGTCAATTTTATATTCTAAGATCAAACTGAGATGAAATAATTAATCATTGCTTATTAATTTGTTTCTATTCTTATGCACTGGTAACCAACTAGTAAAATGTTAATTTTAGGGTAGATTTTCTGAAGATTAATTAAAAAATTTAATAGACTCTAAGCATTAAAATTGTAAATCCTAGGGAGAAGTTATCCAGCTGATTCTTAGTTATCTGGACGTGCCTTCTTTATGTGCCGCCTCCATGACATCTACGTAAGTGATATATTTCTTCACACACCACTTACCATGTAGAATGATGTCAGACCAAAATCACAAACCACACAGAACACCTTAAGATCAAATTTTGGTATCCATTAAATAACTGAAAAGTTTGGTCCAATTAAATTCAGGATAGATCCTATACGATTTATAAAGTAGATAAAAACAACCATTATATGTTTTGGTAGTGGTTTCAAAGGACAATTGGAATTGATTGGATTGAAATTGATATACAAGCATTCTTTCATTATTTCAGGTTATTTTTTCATCACTGCTACGACCCCTTGCAGTATACAGAAATTAATTTACAGCCTCACTGGCCTTTGGTAAGTTGGCATTCCACATTTCTCAGAGTCCAGAAAATGGTCATTTTTAGATTGTGAAATTTTTAAAAAATGGTGTTTTGCAGCATTCTCTTCATCCAAGGTAAAACAAGATTATATGGCATTCACTTTTGTTTTAGTGCTTTTGTTTTTTTCAGAAGTTTTTATTAATTGATGAATACTTTTGTGCATCTTTCTATTATTTTCTTCTCTTTTAAAATACATAGGTTTTCTTATTAGAAACTGTTGATCATCAAAATCAATCTGCACAATATATTTGTATTGGTTTGAAGAAAGTGACACCTATTGTTGACTGTATGCACTGCATCTCTCCACCAGGTGTCAGACAGCTCTTTGGAGTATCTTGAATCAAGGTGTCGCCATCTACAGAGACTTAACCTCAGTTGGTGTGGGGGTTATAGTCAAATAACTACCCAGGGGTTTAGAAGGTTAGTTTGCTGCAAAGTCTCATGAAAGTCTCACAAATTAGTCTCACAAATTAGCAACGTATATTTTTTTACCCAAAAAATCTGAGTAGATGAATACAAAATATGTGGTAAATGTATTTAGTTGGACTAACAGGACTGAATTTGATAATTTAACACCATGATCTATGTAGTGAAAAAATGTATTATGTTGAATGTGTTATAAGTGATGACTGAAAAAGGCAATTTAAAAAAAGTCAGTTAAGTGAGTCAATACAAAATTGTTTAGCAGTAAAATGTAAAACTTGACTTGTTTAAAAGAAATGCGCAGTGGTATCCACTACTTACTGGGCCTAACTTAAATTTCCAATTTGTTCCAGTTTTATCAAGGAGTGCAGTAAAGAGCTGACATGTCTGGTACTGGGTTGTTGCAAGTTTGTGAACAGTGAATGTATACAGATCATAGCTAGTAGCTGTAATAATTTACTGGGTGAGCTTTCCTTTTTGATTCTATTCTAAGGACTATCCTTGGTAATTTCATTGTAATATGTTGTTTTTGTTATTAAAACATGTTCATCTTTTAATACCACCCAGGAAAGAAAACTGGTAATTTCACATAGCATTTATAATAAACATTTGATTTTGGTTATTGAGGCCATGAAACTTTGATACATTTTTATAAATAATTCACATTCATTACCGAATGAAAAAACATTATTTGTTGTGTTTAAAAGCAATTGCTATTTCAATCAGAAAAGATTTTTAAATTTTTATCTTTGTCTTCAGAGCTGGATCTCCAGTGCTGTCCCACAGAAAGTGCGGGTTTTCTTCAAATCATGAAACTCTCCTCTCTACAGAGGCTGAACCTGTACAGAACTCAGATAGACATACATTCCATTGTAGCTATAATTAGGTATTGTGTGTGAACATGTGTGCACCTCTCTCTGTCTCTCTCTCTCTCTCTCTCTCACACACACACACAAACACACACCCACACACACAAACACTGTTAATATAATATTTCAATATCAACTGATACATTGTGTAAATGGCAGAATGCTCACTTCTTGTCCAAAAGGTAATAGCTTTGTTTTCTTTGTACGGATTTGACCCAATTCATTTTAAGATACTTGTATGAATAGCCTGAAAAAAAGAGGTAAAGACCTGGTTATAATAGTTCTAGTAATTGTAAAGCACCACATGCTGATTGGGCAGTAATTTTTCCACATGGAAATGAGATTGATTCAGGATTGAACAGATCTAAGAAGATACAACATAAATCATAAAGCCACCTGATCTTCTTTATCAAAGATATCAGTGTTTGGAATAAATATTTCAATTACAGATATTTTATGATTTGTTCCTAGGTCCTGTGCTGAATTGGAGCACCTGAACTTGGGATCATGTCAGATGATTAACAGTTTTGATGATGTGGCAACAGAACTTGGCAAAAACTGCAAGTAAGCTATTGCCGGTCATGTTTTTTTCACATATGTAGATTCATAAACAGGTGTGAAACTTAAATTTAGAAAAAAAAATGGGGATTTTTTTATTGAAGTGGACATGACCTTACTTTATTATTATTATTATTATTATTATTATTATAATTATTATTATTATTATTATTATATTTTGTAGTCAAGTTTTTATTCTTCTAAAGTGTAGTACTCTGGGACTCTGAGAAATAATGAGAAGTTACAAAAATACCTAAGAATTTCAATGTACCATATTTTCATAAAAATGATGGAAAACATAAAAGAGATGCGCAGTTGTTGTTACATAATTTATCAAAGCACCCATAATGCGTTATCAGTGAGCACACTTTTAATCTTCAGAAACCTAAAGTCTCTTGATTTCTGGCGAGCAAGAACAATCTCTGACAGAGGTCTTGAGGCCCTGGGCAACAACTGCCCTCTGTTGGAGGAAATTGAACTCGGCTGGTGGTAGGTACAGGGTGATGGGTATTGTCACGGGTTACAGATAAAGTAGGCGAATTCTTTGTCTGAGAATAAAACGAGATTTGCTATTGACTGGGTTTGTATGACTAGATGTTTGCAGTGACATTTATAGCAATCATCTAAAGAAGAATCGTATGAGAATTATAATCATTTACAGCAGCTGATTTCAAAAAAAAAAAAAAAGAAAAATCCTATTTTAAGTAACAAAATTTTTATTCACGATCACATTAATTTTTATTTTATACTTGTATAATTATGAAAATAGTTTGTTATCTTATCTTACCTATTTATTTTCTAGCCCAGAGATTCGTTCAGGTAACTCAGGGAATTGTATTGTTGAGCTCATTCAGAAGTGCAGATATCTCAAGAAACTGTTCCTATGTGCTAACAGGTAGGTGCTATTGTGATGTGGACGGAATAGCTGGGTTAAAACACACTATATGCTAAATTTATAAGTATTCTAATTGCTAATTAAAGAAGATGAGGTAAAATGTTCAACCGTATTTTGCCAAATTCAGTCTGAAATGGTTCATCGTTTTGAAATTTAGTTGGTGAAGATGATCTTGTCAAGGCGACTAAGATATATATAATAAGAACTTGTATATTATATATTATAATTGCCTTTGATGTTTACTAGTAAGAAATATAGATACAGATAAAGTTTGGACTTTATTTTTCAGATCCGTATCTGACAAGGAGTTGAATGCACTGGCACAACACAGTAAATATTTGGAGCAGTTGGATATTCTCGGGACACGAGAAGTCAGTATAAATGGAGTCCGCAGGTATGTTTCTTTCACTCTGTTTTTCTTATCTGTCTGCCTGTCTTATTTGTCTGCCTGTCTGTCCATCTGTCCCTCTGACTAGAATGAAAATAGGTAAAATTGTCAAAAAATTTTGTAGGTGAAAACTTAAAGATGAAAACTCCTTACATCGCTTGTACATATTTTGTATATTTACATGAATTCTCTGTTTGGGTGTCACTAGCAGTCTTGCAATGTCTTTTAAACAATAACGGGTAGATGAGTTAGTTCAGATTCTTGCACATTTTCTAGACTTAGAGGAAATCATGCATTACAGATTAAAATTATTGGCATTTTGAATTATTTGCAATATTGACCATTTGAAGAAATGAATATTTTAATTTCTACTAATAATAAGAATTGACTTATTTCAGGGTGTTAGATAACTGTAAGAAGCTGACTTTTCTAGATGTTTCCTTCTGTGCAAATGTGGACTTTGCTTTTGTGGAAGTGTGTAAAACCGAGTACCCTCACGTGAACATCAAGAAAAGTTTCCAAGATTCTTGATCAGCATTAAAATATTATTTTTATTTTTATTTTTTTAGTAGTTTATTGTTTTATCTTTGTTGGTCTTTTAGTCAAACTCAAAAAGATTTAAATAAAATATTCAAGATAGTTCAGAACTGGGTAAACTGAGAATTGGTTAGATTTTGGTTTTTAATCATTAATTAATTAGTCAATTAGCTAATAATAATAAGAATTGAGTTGTTATGCCAGAAGTCTGTGCTCTTTGAGCGTTTTTCTAGTTATGATTACAATGCCTAACCACTACACTCATTTCATGAGCATGATGACCAACTGTCATTGGTATATTTGGTTCATATTAGAGCNTACAGGGTGATGGGTATTGTCACGGGTTACAGATAAAGTAGGCGAATTCTTTGTCTGAGAATAAAACGAGATTTGCTATTGACAGGGTTTATATGACTAGATGTTTGCAGTGACATTTATAGCAATCATCTAAAGAAGAATCGTATGAGAATTATAATCATTTACAGCAGCTGATTTCCAAAAAAAAAAAAAAAAAAAGAAAAAATCCTATTTTAAGTAACAAAATTTTTATTCACGATCACATTAATTTTTATTTTATACTTGTATAATTATGGAAATAGTTTGTTATCTTATCTTACCTATTTATTTTCTAGCCCAGAGATTCGTTCAGGTAACTCAGGGAATTGTATTGTTGAGCTCATTCAGAAGTGCAGATATCTCAAGAAACTGTTCCTATGTGCTAACAGGTAGGTGCTATTGTGATGTGGATGGAATAGCTGGGTTAAAAGACACTATATGCTTAATTTATAAGTATTCTAATTGCTAATTAAAGAAGATGAGGTAAAATGTTCAACCGTATTTTGCCAAATTCAGTCTGAAATGGTTCATCGTTTTGAAATTTAGTTGGTGAAGATGATCTTGTCAAGGCGACTAAGATATATATATAATAAGAACTTGTATATTATATATTATAATTGCCTTTGATGTTTACTAGTAAGACATATAGATACAGATAAAGTTTGGACTTTATTTTTCAGATCCGTATCTGACAAGGAGTTGAATGCACTGGCACAACACAGTAAATATTTGGAGCAGTTGGATATTCTCGGGACTCGAGAAGTCAGTATAAATGGAGTCCGCAGGTATGTTTCTTTCACTCTGTTTTTCTTTTAGTTATCTGTCTGCCTGTCTTATTTGTCTGTCTGTCTGTCCATCTGTCCCTCTGACTAGAATAAAAAAAGGTAAAATTGTCAAAAAATTTGTTGGTGAAAACTTAAAGATGAAAACTCCTTACACCGCTTGTACACATTTTGTATATTTACATGAATTCTCTGTTTGGGTGTCACTAGCAGTCTTTCAATGTCTTTTAAACAATAACGGGTAGATGAGTTAGTTCAGATTCTTGCACATTTTCTAGACTTATAGGAAATCATGCATTACAGATTAAAATTATTGGCATTTTGAATTATTTGCAATATTGACCATTTGAAGAAATGAATATTTTAATTTCTACTAATAATAAGAATTGACTCATTTCAGGGTGTTAGATAACTGTAAGAAGCTGACTTTTCTAGATGTTTCCTTCTGTGCGAATGTGGACTTTGCCTTTGTGGAGGTGTGTAAAACCGAGTACCCCCATGTGAACATCAAGAAAAGTTTCCAAGATTCTTGATCAGCATTAAAGTATTATTTTCATTTATTTTTTTAGTAGTTTATTGTTTTATCTTTGTTGGTCTTCTAGTCAAACTCAAAAAGATTTAAATAAAATATTCAAGATAGTTCAGAACTGGGTAAACTGAGAATTGGTTAGATTTTGGTTTTTAATCATTAATTAATTAGTCAATTAGCTAATAATAATAAGAATTGAGTTGTTATGCCAGAAGTCTGTGCTCTTTGAGCGTTTTTCTAGTTATGATTACAATGCCTAACCACTACACTCATTTCATGAGCATGATGACCAACTGTCATTGGTATATTTGGTTCATATTAGAGCATTTATTTATATATTCATGTATCATTTAAAATTTTTTGTAAGTTCAGTTTCTGCTTAGTAACTGAATTCAGTTGTTTTTTGTGTATTATGTTGTTTTGTATTTTACAAAAATACTCAAATAGTCATAATAATGAGACTATCGTAAATAATTAAGAATTTTTAATGATATTTACTCCTGATAAGCATTGTTGGACAGATGTATTGACAATACTAATTTCTAATATATATACCTGCAATGGATACTATAATTCTAGCATCTCTGCCAAGACCATTTTGATAATATTTTCTTTTACTGTATTACTCAATGCCAATTCTTTAATGATATTGAGATATTAAACAAAAAAAAAATGTGATACACTGTTAAAACCATTGCAATTTCAAATGCTGTGATAATTATAAATGTTTGTATTTTATCTGTATTTTTTAGTCAAATGTAATTTGTGTGAGGTTCATTTCTGCACAAGTTCAGGCACAGTTGAGAAGTGTTTGCCCTTCACCTTTTAAAGTGAAAGTGTCATTTTCTGATTGTAACCTTGGGTGATATACATTTTGATACATTGTGAAGCTTCACAATACTGGCACATGGTTTTATCAGCTGTTATGGGTACAGTGACAACAATAGTTTCTTCAAATAATTACCAAATATTGTTACCACTTTTGACCAAGACACCTTTAATCAGGGGAAGAAGCTTTGGTAGAGTCAAAATATTGAAGTGGTTGGAAATCTGATTTTTGTTTTGTTTTTTTAGAGACAATAGCTGTAACTACAAAATACTATTTTATACTGAAATATATCTAATAATATATTATGAAACCTTAAGTACAAAAAGACACTAGTATCTCAGGAATGGATCTTCTGCTTCCTTGCCGAAAAATAAAAACTACCTTGCATAAGTAGCTGCACCCAAATGACTTTGTATGGTATTTTATAAGTTTGAACTAGAAGTGTTAAATTATATGATGAGTGCAGCAGTGATGATTTTTCAAAATAAAAATCGTACAATTGTGTATAATTGAGTATTATTCCACTGATTGAATTTTATTGCACAGGCTGGCCTAAGGTTTAGATATGCAGCTCTTGAAATTATAAACAAGATCTTTGATACCACATTAGATAAATAAACATGAAAAGATATAATAAACTCAAAGCAGTTCTTTCAGTGTTATGACTTGTTTTATTCAGTATATTTTGGCACATATGGTAACAGCAGTTTACACTCTTAATTAAAAAACAGGCCTCCCCAAATGACTTCTATGTACAATGAGGGGCACAAGCTCAGTACCTTGCATTGAGCTCAGCAAAAACCAATGACGTATGAGGAAGATGATTTGATTGCTTTTGGTGCAACACAATTATGACTAAATTTGCTAAGTTTACTGTCATTAAAAGTGTCAAATCATACTTATTTTTTTCTTTATGGTGCACAATGAATTCATTGTCTGAAGTGGACATATGTTAAAAATTACATCTTTTCTTTAAATAGCATTCTCTTATTTTCCTCTGACACAAACAAGTTTAAGTATAATTGTTAAAACCAGCAGTTTTCTTCATCACAATTCTCAATATTCGATGACAATTATTTTCGATGATTTCAGACTAAAATATTTACCTGCATTCGTTTTATATCATGTTAACAAGCACACTTGACAAACACACAACTTGTTTATAATTAATTCAAACTAGCTTTCATGAAACAATCTTAAGTTTTCCTGGAAGATTCCTTGAGTGCATACAAAGTTATCTTATGGGCTGAATTAAAAAAATGTTTACATCTCCAAAGTAAGACGATAAACTACTACACATACCAAGCCAACATGCAACATTGAAGCAACCTGAGATTTGGAATGGCAGTAGATTTCTTCCATGACACAATGCTATTATATATTAAGCAACAAGACTACAAATACTCAAATATCAAGCAACATAATTACCATAAGCCAACTCAATGCAGTGATATCTACATATTAAACAAAAGAATGCCACAATTACTACAGAAAACATTTTACAGATAGTATAATATTTACAATTTAAACATTAACGTGAATACACTGTCCTATAATAAAGACGAAGGTGCTTTCATTCATCTGGACAGATTAAATTGAAAAATAAAATAATGTCACTATGTTATTCTACATTTTGCTGAACTCCTGTAACCAAGAAAGAATCTCTTGGTGGACTCTTAATAGTCCAAATGTTCATTTGTCCAAAAGTGTCCTTGTATACAAAGTTGCAAGCTTACTATATTAGTCATATGGTTCATAGGTCTGAAAATGTACGTTTTTACAGAAAATCTACTTTTCCACTAGTAAATTTTAATGTAAAAAAACTTTCATAAGAACAGCAGTGGTTTCTGTCAGTGATGATATTAGACGTCTTTCACAATAATTTAAGGAAAAATAATCTGAAACACTTGAAACTATTTAAACATCTAAACTAGACAAAGATTGATTTATGAGCAAGTAATTTATAACAGCCTAGTTATACTTTGGGACAAGTGGGAACACAAGCTCTGATCTATGGCAATGTATACATATTATGGCACTCAAAAACAGTGTAATGAAATATTTCAACAAATGATGGGATATTGAATCATAGTTACATGTACCCACAGCATCGAACATTTACTGACATCAAACATTCTACCTCATGCATTACATTTACTGCACAGTTCAGAATGCACAACAAAAACAATCAATTTAGAATGCTGTGAAAATTGGTCTAAATCTTTTTCAATGCTTCATCCTGAGAAAATATACCCATCAATCTGTTTTTTTTTCAGCAACAATTTGATGCACAGTTACAGTATATTCTATACCTACATCTTAATAAATTGTTAATTAAATTATTCTACATAATTATGCACTATCAGTAAGAAACACTAAAGCAAGATAATATATGGAAACAAAATATAATGGAAACAAAACGACATCTAATGAAGCAAAGTATATAACATGCAAGAGATAAAAAATACCATATGGAATTATATCTAAAATGAAATTAATTAACAGAAGAGTATATGAAATTCTTCTACAGACTATACTGTGTCTAAATATTTGAGATCACATAGAAATGCTTTAAATACCGTTTCTGAGCTTGCCAGCTCTATATCATCTATCTTTAGACAGTTTAGAGACAACTGTCCTAGCTACTGAGATTTAAAAAATCACTCTTGGTTAAAGCAGTGTCTTTTAGAATTCTTTAGAACTTCAAGTAAAGATGAAGGGTTGTATCCTTGTATAATATTGTTTGTTGTTTGACACTGAGGTGTTATGTATAATTCCATCTTAAAAAAAGATGCCTGAAGTTTTAATTATGTGGTAAAGAATCTTCCTTACCTTATAACATTATCACCAGGAGCTTTAAATTCAAAGCATAATCAAGACACTTGCTTTAATCTTGAAACATCATATTGCACCTGTAAACGCTTTTCCAAGGCTCTGGTTATCTCTATTCTATAGCAACTATACCCAGGAAATTCTCATGCCTTTCCTTTTTTCCAATATTTCATTAATTTTTCTTTCCAGCCCAACTCACTTTCAAAGCTGAATCATTAATATGATACAAAAAATTGTTTTGGGAAATATTTCTACCAGTTTCACTAAAATTTAATGAGGGATCATCCCAATAAAATGACATCACCCATTAGCTATTCTTTCTCTCTATTATGTCTACTGTATCACAGTTTCCATTGGTCCACTATTCCACTGCGGCCCCATTTTTAGTTGCGTTAAGTGGCTTCCTTGTCTCCTCGTACTCCTCATCCATCTCTTGGTACCTTTTCCTCTTGAAGAACCCACACTGGAAGATTGAAGGTAAAAAGTTTGATTATTGCAAAATAGTGTGTTTATTGTGATTATTAGTCATACAGTTGACCAATGTGTCAGGTTTTGATATAAATTATTTCCATCCAGAATGTTAAGTCTGTAATATAATTAATAAACTTAAAAACGATTGATTGAGTGCTCACTTAAAAAATTGATAAAAAATTCAATGTCATCGTATAAATTACTCAACAAAAATCAATATTGTAATAGCATTATTCTAAATAAATCCCCATACAGAGTAACAACAACAAACATCACAACAACCTCAATGTAATTGTGACCTCCTTGAGCTACTATTTGCTCTGACCTGACTTTTAACCAATGGCCTTCACCCTTGACCTTTGACCTACCTTCCACAGTATGAGGATCAGCAGTATAAGCAGCAGCAGGCCTCCAATGGCTGCCACTATATAGATCCAGATGGGGATTGGCCTCAAACCTACATCTGGTGTTTCTGGGTTTATATTAGTGTGGACCTGAAATAGAAATGCCCATTTGAAATTAAAATAAATTATAAACTTTTTGATAATTAATTTACAGTAAAAAATATTGCTCATTGGTAAATGAGATATTTAAATTTTTTTCTTATACATAACTGGACATTTTTGTGAAAATTGGCTGACGAGTCTTATTGACAGAATTAAATTAAATTAAATGAATCAATGAAATTATTATTTTTTTTTTTTTACTAAATAAAAATATGCAAAATTGACAATTTCCTCTCTTATGGAGGCAGCTGTCAAATGAAAATTCAGTGAAGTGAATGTGAGCTGTTGAACTTTCTTAGACTAGTTGTTAAATACGTAATTCTAGATTAGGCAGTGACTTACAGTAAATTCTGCGGTAGAGTAGGTGACAGGCTTGGCACCGTAAGGTACATCCTGTACGGTTGCCTTGACAACTGATGGTATGAGAGCAGTATTGACACTTCCCTGGAAACAAGCAAGAACAATAACAGTAATTAGTATTACCCACAAATGTCTATAACACATCACTTATTATTTTTATAATATCAATTGTTTCTTTAATCTCAACACAATGCACTTTCTGACACTAAACCCAACTCTTCTTCTTCTAAGACTTTCAAATCATCTGTATCAGATAAAACAAACATCTCAACTTGCTAGTTACTTTTTCTCAGTTTTGCTTGGATTATCGTTAGACAGTATCCTTAAGCAATATAATTAATACATGTAATAACAGTGTTAATTAATTGATAATAAGCTTTTTATTTTAATTTTTCATTGGCATTCACAGGACATTGCATAAAATACACAAGAGTACATATGAAGTCAATATGGTAATATTAAAAGTAATATTTATTATTATTATTATTATTATTATTATTATTATTATTATTACATATAGTTACCTTGACAATGCTCTCTACCCAGAGTCTTGCTCTGATCTGGATGAGAGCCACATGGCCGGAGTTCAGTAGACCCAGTGTACACACCAATTTACTACAGTGACCAGTGGGACAGTTCTAGAGGTCATAATAGAATATCTGATAATAAAAGGGTCTCACCCAATGTGAATTAAATATAACAGAGAGTTTATACTAACTACTGGCATATTGTAGTGCAAAGGACATTTGATAATTTGACCTTAATCACTATGAGAAAGAAAACATCTCTGAAATATAAATCTATTTTAGTTACCATTTTGGTGAGCTATTTTACAAAACTTAACAAAAGATCTTGATTTTTTCTAATTAATCTTCCACATGTTTGAATGCTTTTTTCCTCTCACCTGTTGCATCAGTGTATTAGTAGTGGGTTGTGGAGACTGTACATCATCTTCTCTCCTCCTCCTTATCTTCAGTGTCTGATCTTCTGTTATCACTGCCTCCACCACCACATCTTCTGGCTCAAGCTACAGAATAAAATATCAACTTTTTTTACACTAATAATAATAATAATAATAATAATAATTAATTATAATAATAATTTTATTTAGAATTTAATGTTACATGTCAGCATTGCTAGTTGTCTGTATTATTTCTATTCGGTATAAATACATGATGTGTAATCTAAGGGGATACATGTACCAAACCATTTTTCTGTATGTATTGAAATGTTTAACATTGTTTTAAAACAACATTTGATTAAGTCTTTGATCAAATAAAGACCATCTATAATTAAGTTAAAATTTATAATCAGATGGCACCAGAATTGCAATTAACTATTCTCTGAATCATCTGATAAAAAAGAATATATTTAAAGTTCACAATTAAAAGTACTAAGCTATAATACCTGTATCTGCCTGACATTGACATCCTCTGCAGTACAAAACCCCGTACCAGACAGCAGCTTGGGGGTCTCCATCAGATACAGCAGGGGGGACCCATCCATGTTGTAACTAGGCCATGTGATCTCTACCACAGTTTTGTTTACTGAACTGGGTCCATTGTTGTATACCTATCACGATATTAATAAATAATATTTCAAACAATTACAGATAAATATATAGTATCAGTACATTAAGAAGTATATCAATACTTTGTTCAATTATTTTCTTGGAAGTTAGCCAGGGGATGGAGGAAGAAAGGGGTTCTGGACCCCCCCCACACACACACACACAAACACAAACACACACTCTCTCTCTCTCTCTCTCTCTCTCTCTCTTTCTCTCTCTCTCTTTAAGTGAAAATTAATGTTTTGGTGAAAATTGTGTGACTGGAGTTTCTTAGAGTATAAATATAGCAAAGTCAAGATACATGTTTTTTCACATTAAGAAAGATTTGCCTCTGGTTTCAGTTAATCCTGTTAAGTTCCTGAGTGAAAACTAACCTGATATTTGTGTATAACCTGTGGTCCTATCTCTGACTCTGTAACTATCTCCTCACTGTATGTGCTGTTGTACACCAGCTGCTCCGGAACTGACACCCTGAAATTATTGAATATTAATTCCCTCTAAGATTTCATCATTTTTTTTATTATTATACAGGTATTGAAGATTCCCCCAATTTCCATTTTCAAATTTCCACTTTTCAGAATAAAAAGGTTATATTTTTAGAGATCACAAGTTATAGGCAAAAATTGATACATTAATTATTCCTATTGATTTCATCAGCTGTCTGCTTCAGTAACTCAACCTGTTTACAGCCATTTGCGTACTGTATTTGCACCTACTCAAGCAGGGTTGCAGATCCCACAGACCTCTGTTTCAGGCTACTGATGAATAAAATTAAAACCACCCAGATGTTTTACGCCATTTATTATAATAGGTTGTACTTACCCAGTTACCCCAATGTTAGCTACAACCAGAACAGGCACATGGACATCTATCTGGTTGTCTGCAAGATCTGTTCTGTTCTCTGGGTTAGTGCTGTAATGAAGGGGAAACTGTATTAAACTACTTTTATAAACCGAATACAATTATCTCAGTCTCTCTCTCACATGCACGTTTTCTTCCAAGAAAGACTAAAATACTTATAAATTATTCAATTTAAAGAACATATCACTGCAGGGTTAGTGTACATAAATTCTTTCTGGGGCATCTTTTATTTAATTTACTGTCCCTGTAGGTAAGCTGTTTTGTGTGTCCCTATATTAATTGTTATGAAAATAAATTAAAAGGTCTTTGTCAAAAAATTTTCTATCTTGCATTAGTCATACTGTACCTGTTCACTGTAAGCTGGAACTGAAGGAAACTGGAGACGTCTGTCACATCATCAGCAGACAGCCTCAGTTTGAAGTCAACCTGGGGAGAGTTAGAAAATAATGGTGTGGAAGTTGGTAAATAATAAATGATGAATAAGATTACAGCATTTTGGTATGTTATTCGTTATTTTATCTACTGGTTTTAATCATTGATCATCATCACTTTTAATTTTTTCTTATTATTAAAATGTGACTTCATGTATATATCCCTCACAAACATATATATGCTTGCATGGTGTACATTAATTACCAAACAAACACAAATTTTAGCATGAAAAATATAATTTTTTTCTTCCATCCAACTTACATTCACACATGCACATTATGTGTCGATCATTCCCACCCACACACATGCACAACCGCATATATACATACATGCATGCACACACAGGCTTGCACACACACACACACACACACACACACACACACCATTACCTGTGTTTTCTGCTGCAGTGGGTTTCCCACATCACACACCACATACTCTCCTTCCTCCTCCACAGCTCTCTGTTCACAGCTCACTGGGGATGCCTGCATGGAGAAGTTATCATGATACATTATATATAGCACGAATATAGAGCAAAATATTGTACATGCCATACATTATTTTATATTAATGTAATTGTTGTATATGTAATTTCTAGCTGGTGTTGCTGTTTACTACACTTCTAAAAACTGGCAATTTATGAGCACCTCAGTAATATGTACACATGTACTGATACAGGTATTTTTTTTTCAAAGATAACTGAGATCATTTCAGTTTCTTATCAAAAAGTGTTATTTCTGACCCCAAACCAAACGTTTTTTTTTTTTTTTTAATTTCAAGTCACTGATGAGGCTAACAATGGATAAATTAAGGTTACTTCAAAAATAAATAAATAAATGAATAAATAAATAGACACACAAACCAATAACCTACCCCAGTTATTCCCTGTGTATTGGTATAGCTGATGCCAAAGGGCAGTTTGACATACAGAGTTGACTCGTAGGCGTCTTCCCCACTGTTGACTACAGCGACATCTATCTCAATTTTTCTATTGCTGCCAATAGTGTGTGGGGCGCTGTAGGAAAATAGTGAATAAATAAAAACAAAATATTGAATAAACAAAAAGAAAATATTGAATATAAAATAACTGCTATATTCATTTAACATCTACCTTAATAAAAAATCATTAATTTACATTATTTTTTAATTTTACAGACTGCATGACCAGTCAAAGAGGACATCCCAGTATACTCACATTTATTTTCAATAATTTTCAGTTTATTTTTCTAGAAATGCACATCCTGAGATACAGAAATACAGAAAACTCTGCCCCTGAATTCTCAGCATGTCCCTGCTGTTATAATACATATAGTTACTAATATCAACATGCTGATCACAGACAGAGGCAAGGTTTTTGTAATCTCCTGTCTGAACTAAGTGAAAAGTTTTCATGCCCTACCCCACTGCCTTGATCCTAAGATCTGGAATGCAGATCTCGTCTGGCCCACAGTTGGTCTGGATACGCGCCTGAAACAATGCATTTTTTAAAAATAAATTCAGAGATACTGAGAATATTTAAAATTATGTAATTCAATTGAACTTCAATAATTTCTTCCTTCCTTTCCTAACTGACAAAACAACAAATTTTAAGTATTCATCATAAAAAAATGATAAGAATGAAATTGCTAGCAAATCAACTCACCTCAGTGGACACAAAGGAGGGAATGTATTGATCTAGTATAGGCAGCAACTCCCCAGGGGGCACCACTGTAGGCTCCATCAATTTGTACTCCATGGTTATAGTTATAGGGGACAACTTATTACGGATATTGTCCTGAAATAATCAGCAGAGTTTCACTCTTTATCATAATAAAAATATCATATTTTAATGGCATAAGAAGAAACATATGCCTTAAGATGTATATCATCCATGTCATTTGTTCTTATACTTACACAGTCTAATATTTTTATATTCAATTTTTTATAGTTATTTTCAAAAATCTGATGTATATGATGGCATAAGCTTTGCGTTTATCAGATATTTCTATCTACATGTAATATTAACCTTGGCAGTTTATTTGCTATTGATATTTTTTAGTTGCCACAATCCAAAAGTAGGGGGCAGCACTATGGTGGCCTTTTTTTTTTAACTATTGGCAAATACAATTAATGGTTTTCCTATAACAGAAAAGGGGAACACCATCTTCAGGAATGGAAAAAAAAAAGAGTTCAATGCTATAAAGCACTATTATCCTGACATACTGGGGAGTAATGTACTCTGACACCTGCACCCTGGGGACCAATAGGCAGACCTATTAGAAATCCCATCTGCCTTTGCAGATACATACACCCAGAGAATGAGGGTGAATAGGCCTGCATGATGGCAGGGAGGGGAATTTGTGGGTATGGAAAGAGCCAACATTTTTGGACAAAAAAATGTCCAATCTCAATAAAAATCTGATTTAATTAAGCTCTATCCCACCTCTCAAAATACATGTAGATCAGTGAAGGGCGTAAAAAGTCCATTTTTTTTAAAGAACTCACCCCCCTCTTTGATATTGTTGGCTAAAGGTCACATGTAAAAAGGAAATTTTGTGATACAAGAGAGAAAACCTGATATAAGGTTGGTATAGACACAATTTTTTAGCCTATTTCTTGACTTAAAATGTCTGTAAACATGTCCAAATATAGATGTTAAAACTGGATGTGAAACTGAAAACAAATAGCTGCATGTGATTTATCTTAGGATGTCTGAAAAATTGGATGATGATTATTATATGTAATTGTTTAGAAATAGCTTTCACCAATGAATATTATAAGTAATATTTAAATCACCTCAACCTAACAGGCTGATTTAATTCAGATATATGGACACTGTGAGGCACTGATCCCTTAATTTTAACAAGTCACACATATGACAAACAATATTTCAGTTTGTCTTCACAGCTTAAACTTATGAAAAACAATATAAAACCATACAGAAAGTAACTCAGGGTGAGCCAGAGAGATCCCCTGCCTCTCTCCATTAATCCAAGATATAATCGAATTCTCCACCAATCAACAGGGGTCGGCCATTACCCACAGTCTGCATCCTCCATGACTGAGTTTTGATAGACCATGCAGATGTTCATATTATTTTTTAATTAAAGTCCCATTATCTAATGTTATTTGGCATGAAATATTAGGAAATGGCCCTAGGAATGTGAGCTTCTGGGTTTTCATTAAATTACTGGCTTTTTAGGTCTCTCATGGGATGTCCTCTATTGGCAAAATCGCTCTGGTAATGAAATTTTCATTTGCTGCCTGGAGGAAGAAGTTGAAGAGAAAAAAAGGCATACTGATTAAGTGACTTCATTTTTCTGGCATTAATTACTCTTTGATTAGACCATGTAACTGCATTATGGAGATTATTTTCCTGATTTTGTTATAAAGTTGTATGTGCCTATTTGTTGACTGATGTGAACTTGTGTAAAGTATTCACATTTTCTAATTATTTTACATGCAACATTACCATTGCCAGCATTGCATACCTATCTGATCAGACGCACAGGACTTTCAACTAAGGTATACACATGTAGGTACATAGTGAATTAGCAATCAACTTTTCTATTCTTATGATAAAAATAAAATTTTTAGTGAAAAGAAACAGATACACCTGTACCCTGTACAGTATTTGTACACAGGTTTTTCATATACACTGAACAAGGTATCAAATTAAATATTTTTTACAAATATTTTTGATGCTCTGATTCTTTCCATGTGTGTGTGTGTGTGTGTGTGTGTGTGTGTTTGTGTGTGCATGCATGTGTACCCTGCATGTGCATGTGAACCGCAGTGTAATCAAGAGGTGTTCTTCATAACCTGATATATTATTGAATGATTATAATTATTATATAAATTAACAGACATTTTCACTGCTTTAATTAATGTTTGCCATGAGAAAGATAGAGATAATTTTAGTTGAACAGTTTCTTTGTATTTTAATAATTAAAATTAAGTCAGAAATTAAATCTGAGGATGTTTTAAAAGTATTAGTTACCATAAATGAACCATTCTAACAGAAACCCATAGTCCCATGGGATTTTTATTGAGCTATCACTCCGTGTAGATAAGGGCAACATGCTCAAGTAATAATTTACTTAGAGTGCTTTTTGTTTTACCGGCGGCAGGATTAATCTCTTGGTCTTTTCGATGAGTTGCTTTAAAAATGGAAGGCATTTTTACAAATTGCCTTGAGCAGAGAGGAGAGGCTGGAGAACAGTTTTTAATTATTGTGCAACAGTGGGTTTTGTTTAAATCATTCCTGCTCCCTTTGGGCATTAAAGGAGTTTTTTTTTTTTTTTTNTTTGTGATACAAGAGAGAAAACCTGATATAAGGTTGGTATAGACACAATTTTTTAGCCTATTTCTTGACTTAAAATGTCTGTAAACATGTCCAAATATAGATGTTAAAACTGGATGTGAAACTGAAAACAAATAGCTGCATGTGATTTATCTTAGGATGTCTGAAAAATTGGATGATGATTATTATATGTAATTGTTTAGAAATAGCTTTCACCAATGAATATTATAAGTAATATTTAAATCACCTCAACCTAACAGGCTCATTTAATTCAGATATATGGACACTGTGAGGCACTGATCCCTTAATTTTAACAAGTCACACATGAAAAACAATATTTCAGTTTATCTTCACAGGTAAAACATATGAAAGACAATATAAAACCATAAGTAACTCAGGGTGATCCAGAGAGATCCCCTGCCTCTCTCCATTAATCTAAGATATAATCAAATTCTCCACCAATCAACAGGGGTTGGCCATTACCCACAGTCTACATCCTCCATGACTGAGTTTTGATAGACCATGCAGATGTTCATATTATTTTTTAATTAAAGTCCCATTATCTAATGTTATTTGGCATGAAATATTAGGAAATGGCCCAAGGAATGTGAGCTTCTGGGTTTTCATTAAATTACTGGCTTTTTAGGTCTCTCATGGGATGTCCTCTATTGGCAAAATCGCTCTGGTAATGAAATTTTCATTTGCTGCCTGGAGGAAGAAGTTGAAGAGAAAAAAAGAGGCATACTGATTAAGTGACTTCATTTTTCTGGCATTAATTACTCTTTGATTAGACCATGTAACTGCATTATGGAGATTATTTTCCTGATTTTGTTATAAAGTTGTATGTGCCTATTTGTTGACTGATGTGAACTTGTGTAAAGTATTCACATTTTCTAATTATTTTACATGCAACATTACCATTGCCAGCATTGCATACCTATCTGATCAGACGCACAGGACTTTCAACTAAGGTATACACATGTAGGTACATAGTGAATTAGCAATCAACTTTTCTATTCTTATGATAAAAATAAAATTTTTAGTGAAAAGAAACAGATACACCTGTACCCTGTACAGTATTTGTACACAGGTTTTTCATATACACTGAACAAGGTATCAAATTAAATATTTTTTACAAATATTTTTGATGCTCTGATTCTTTCCATGTGTGTGTGTGTGTGTGTGTGTGTGTGTGTTTGTGTGTGCATGCATGTGTACCCTGCATGTGCATGTGAACCGCAGTGTAATCAAGAGGTGTTCTTCATAACCTGATATATTATTGAATGATTATAATTATTATATAAATTAACAGACATTTTCACTGCTTTAATTAATGTTTGCCATGAGAAAGATAGAGATAATTTTAGTTGAACAGTTTCTTTGTATTTTAATAATTAAAATTAAGTCAGAAATTAAATCTGAGGATGTTTTAAAAGTATTAGTTACCATAAATGAACCATTCTAACAGAAACCCATAGTCCCATGGGATTTTTATTGAGCTATCACTCCGTGTAGATAAGGGCAACATGCTCAAGTAATAATTTACTTAGAGTGCTTTTTGTTTTACCGGCGGCAGGATTAATCTCTTGGTCTTTTCGATGAGTTGCTTTAAAAATGGAAGGCATTTTTACAAATTGCCTTGAGCAGAGAGGAGAGGCTGGAGAACAGTTTTTAATTATTGTGCAACAGTGGGTTTTGTTTAAATCATTCCTGCTCCCTTAGGGCATTAAAGGAGTTTTTTTTTTTTTTTTTCTTTTTTTTGTTTTTGGGGGGGGGGGGGGAGGGTTGGGGGGACTGCTGGCTATTATTACCAGTATAAATTCATTAAAATCGTTTTGTGAAAATGAAGAATTGAAAACATCAATTTTATTTTTATAATGTCACTAGAAGTGAATGGTGACTTATGAATATTATTTTCTGATACACTCACAATTCATATAAAATTTTGATTCTTTACTGGTATTAGTTTTAATGGGAGGAAAAGTGTAAATTTAGTGAACACTTTCCATTTTCTCCAACAGCAGACATGAGCATACATGAATGAGTTTGACTTAACTTAATACATGCAACTAAATGGAAAATTCAAATTCAAGTTTCCTTTCTACCATAAGATTAACCTGACTGCACTTTGTTTGCTTGACTGAAACGTTTAGTCATTTTATTCGGAAAGCTAACATATGAAGGATATCTCCAACCATGAAAATGCAGTCATTTTTTCATGTTTTAGATACAATCAATTGGCAAACAATCTTACACGTAGTATTACCAGTAAATACACAGTTTGCAGTCTATAAATTATTTATCATTATGATTTTAGGTTATGAATGTTCAGAATTGCAGATTTCTCCATATGAGACAAAGGATCATGAGATATATAACAAAGGCAGAGGAAATTGTCTTCTCCAGTTCCAGACTACCGTTTTCAAAGACAAATCCTGGTAGGATTGTCATGGAGGAAAAAAATGCTGTTTAGCTTTCAGCGGAAATTGATTTTCTGAAACCTCACCTCTGCTCTGACATTCAGATTTCCCAGGAGAGTGAAAGCGACACTCTCAAGTCTGACTCTACACAAAACATATTATCTCTGATGTTTATGGCGACAGGCAAGAGAGAGAAATAGAAAGAGAGAAAGAGATTCTACATCCTAGCTAGAAGATTCTAAAAAATGAAGATAATAAACTAATGTGTCAGTCTCATAGCCAGCAATTCTAAAGAGGGGGTCTTTTTTTCTGAAAAAGTGGAACTTTTTTTCCACAAAACCTTCATGTATCTACATCAAATGTTACTGACAGTGGACCTTTTTCTGGCAAAAAGGATGCTTTGTTTGAACCCCCCATCCCCCCCCACCCCTGTCTACAGGTCTGTGTATAACAGTGGGGTACATATACGACAGAGAGAGAGAGAGACAAAGAGTTTTTACATAGTTTCTGATATATGTATGACATGTATATTAATTCAATTACCTTCATGTAACCTAACGTCCTTTTACATGTCTTCTCCTCTCTGCGAAGTATCATACTGAAAGTCTCAGAAGGTTGAGGACTGTTTGAAAGTCTCACACGAGGGTTCAAGGGGAAGTCGGAATCCATCACTAATTTCACTGAGAGCTCTACCAAAATAGAAAATATGACATGCATTAATTGATATGCAGGCTGGATTTTTTTTTTTTTTTCGACATGCACCCCAAGTAATTTGGTACTGTTTAAAGTCAAAATTCAGCTGCATCAGTGTCCTTTCTCCATTTGTGTTACATCTATGTTATCTTTCTTAATTAGCATTATAGATCAAATATATATATCAGGATCAGAAATTATATTAATATGTTCAAGTACATTAACCATTTTGTCCTTTCATGCATCAAATTTTACCACAAATTACATTTCAGGAATATTTTCATCAATGTCTCACCTATGCTCTCTGGGGCACCAACACCATAATACTTGAGACAGGTTTCAGTGGTTATGCTGCAAAAATAAAATAAAATATTTCATTACCACATTTGGTCAAAAATGAGTTTTCCCAGCACATTCTATCCAATTGAAAATTCATCCATTCATTCATTTTTTTTTTTTTTAATTTTAAATATTTGTAGTACAGTTGAACATTAAGAACTTGTAGTTGTAATTAAGATAGTGATCGACTCACAAATGTCATTATATAATATATATAGAAATCAACTGAGGCAACCTGACAACAGAGTTATTGAGTTCCCAGCTACCTCTGAGACTCAGAGTGCTCTTATCCCACTATGATAAAATCTATTAACTTAGAGACTCAGCCAACCATGACAATTAATAAAATCTATTAACTTCAAAGTTTAAAAGTGGACATACCAGGTGAAACTTTTCTCCGGAGCATCGTCAGGGTGACAAAGCTTTCTGTCTAGGTTCACTGACTGTGGGTCTATAGCTAGGGTGGTCAGCACATGGATTATAGGACGTGACCTGAAATATATTTTCTAGGTTTATTATTATACTACAAACTATATTTTACAACGTGCATGCAGTTTTTAAAAATCTATTTTAGACTAGGAGCACAATTAATTTACACAGTCAATAGATCATTTCTATGCTAATATTGCTCAAAGACCTCAGCTGGATAATTCTACAACCTCTCTTCCATATAATGATTCTAAATGATGATGTAAATGGCTGCAGAGTTCAGGATTTCTATTTGGGTACAGAAAACATGATGTTAAAGACATGATCATAAATTGTATAAAATGCATGAAACTTGAATTAATTGAAATATCTAATTATATTTGTTTCACCAAGCATCACTTCCCCATATGCCAAAACAAATACTCGTACTGCAGAAATCAAATTTGATAAAGACAAAATTAAAGAAATTGTACCTGAGAAATATGGCATTTCCTGATGTGTATGAACCGATCAAAACATCAGGGTAGTAATTGCCGTCCATATCATGGCCACCAGAGATAGCAAACCCAAAGGATGACAACTGGGGGCTTAGATCCTTGGCAAAGATAGCCTAAAATTTAAATGATATCGATTTACAGACCTTTAACATTTACATTGTCACAACAAAATGACAGTGGAACAGCAATTAGTTACTCTTAAAATTACTCAAAATAACTTTGACATAAGCACATTTTGTAATACAGTAGAAGGTTAGGCAAGCTTTGTAAGGAACATCTTTTCTCATGGAAGTGATATTCTGTTACTGCTACAGGCATTATTGAAGCGAAGCGAGTAACATTTTCCCCATGGAGTACATGGTACTTTCCCACTTCTGCATCTGTACTTGCCTGTGAAAACTGTGGTCTGATCCCTTTATTAGAGCCATGGTATATGTACACTGCTCCCCTACCATCTGGACCATCATAGGGGGCACCAACTAACAAATCTGGAAAAACAGCGGTATGACAAGTTTCTCTCACTTTATGATCTTTTTAGCATCTCTATGAAAAGTGAACAAGGTTTTATGCTCCTGACCAATTCTTAGAGTTAGAAAATTTTCTTTTCATTTTCTTTCAAAGAAAATGTAAGTGGTGTCTTTTCCAGCTTCAAGATAATTCAGACACCAATTCATTACTATTTATCATTATATATATATATATATATATATATATATATATATATATATATATATATATATATATATATATATATATATATATATTGGAAACGTCTACTTGAAATGCACATGATCCCACTTTCATAGAACCAGGGGGCTATATGTCCCACTTTTACAAGTCTGCAAAATTGTTTATTTTGTTTTTAATAGAGATACATTTGCATCACTGTGTCTTAATAAGTTGAAATTTCATATGCTAAGCATGAAATATGAATGTTGGGACATTAATTTTCCAACCAGGAGTAACTATGTTACCATTATAGTCATCCACATTGATGTTCCCCAGTTTAGCCAGCGCTGAACCAAACCGACTGCGGCTTCTCATTCCACTTAGAGTGGTGTTCTTGGCAGCTAGAAATCTGTGCTGAAAACAAAAGAAATTTGACAACTTTTATACAATGTCAGTCTAAAACAATTATAACTTGTCTGAACTCTGGATTCACTCCCCTCCCACCCCACCCCCAAAAAAAATAAGATGCATAATTTTAACTGCCCCCCCTTTCCATCCCACTCAAGGCCCTGCCTTGATCTACTTCAGCATAGAGGTCTGTAGTGCTAGGCCCTTTAGTTGTAAGATAGAACTACAATAATCAGCATTAATCAAAATATCAAACTAATTTCCATATGGCCATAACAATTTTTTTTTACTGGACTCGCACACATTACAAAGAAAAAATAGTGACAATATTCAAAGCAAATGATAGTGAGATAGTAAGTACCTTTTGGGAAGTCTAATAGGAGTTAAATGAATAGAATAATTATGGGTTCATGTCCCGCACAGTATTTAATTGCAGCTGGTAAAAACATTCCTTTCTTGCCTGAAAAACAAGTTTTCTTTTAGTATTTACCTCGGCATCTTGGTAAAAGATGTAAACTCTTCCAATCTCAAAGTTGTCGCTGCCTGCTGTATAGTCTGTGTAGAAAGGGGCTCCAACAGCAATGTCATCTAATCTGAAATTTTAAATATTAAATTCATTATTGATAATAAGTAAAGTAAATAATAACTCATATTTAAATTATTGTTTTTCTTTTTATAAAGAGCTTATAAAATATGTATTACCTCCAATAAATGGAGCTAATGAAACTCTTCTCTCATTAACTCATATATTTTGCATTGCCCCATCCATTCATAGCGGAAAGAGGATGATTCAAATCTTCTGAAAACCTTTTGGGTTCTTTCCAGCAACAGAAAATGATAAATACTGGGAAAAACATATTGGAGTGATTGTTATATTGGATACTCGTGAAGAATCACCATACCTCATCCCAAATTTCAGAGGACAATTGAAGCTTTTCAGTAAAACACTCATCCACTGTCAGCATGTCTCTGATATTGGATATAGTAAATGGCAGAGGCATGCTGACAGAAAACCCAAGGGAGTTTTTGTTGACCTTTGAAAATCTAGGTGCCTCACACTTACTCACCTCTATGACTCCACACCTGTTCTGCACACAGGTGAGTCATGCTTTGTTGGTTATTCTCTTTAAGTCTGACACCTCAACAGTATCACCTACCTGAGTATTGCCCTGAGAATCATTATACTGATGGTAACTTAACTATTACTACATGTACGTATTTTACCATCTTCACCAACAGAATTGGCATAGCTATGATACCCTAAGCTTCAGATCCCATGCATGCCAGCTTCTTCATTTTCAAATCTCCCTGTGTGCAGAATTATCCAATAAGCTGGCATATGTGGACATTTGAAAATAAAATATCTGGCCTGCACCTGGTCTGAAACACAGGGTACACATAGCTAGGTTGCCTGATAAGAGAGTGCATGGAGTGTCCAAAACTATGTGTAACTCAGGGTGAGCACAGTACTCATAATCATATGGTAACTATATCTCATCATATGAAGATTTTAATTTTTTTATTTTCTATTCTGACTATTAATAATATTTTTGTTATAATTTTTTTTTTCTTTTTCATTCTTATGACAATGCACTTACTGAACCATAGATATTTGGCTGGCATAATACCAAGGAATAGGAGGACTGTTCCAGAGAGAACGAAAAATAAATTAATGATAGTTCATTGGAGAAATTGCCTTTGCCATACATTTGTACTGAACATGACATGTTTCACATTGCATATAAAATTACCAGACCTGCCAAATCTATAATAGAACAGATTCAATTACCACTGCTGGCACGGTTAAAGTATATCATATATATTCCCATTTCTGTTAAGGAGAAAACAAAGGCATTTTTTGCTTTTAATCTGTCAAATATTTTTTCACCAGCCCAACAATAAAATAGCAGGAAAACAATTAATAATTTATAAACATGTACACAATTTGAAAAGTGAAATTTTAATGACATTCATGCATGGTTACCACTTGTGGCAGCTATTACCTTTAGATTGATAAAAGTGAAATGATTAAAAAAACCACTAATACAATACAAGAAATACTCCAATATGACAAGACAGGTGTACGAATTCCACCAGACACTACCAAATATTTACATTCCTCCTCCACAGGAGCCTGGACCTTATCTGTCCTGATATTAGAAGTGTTTTCTGACTGGCTGGGTTAGATAGGGGGGCCATTACTAGAATATTACCCATACTTCATCCACTGATGCATTCACACAAAGGATTAAATTAGACTTAAACTCTGACCACAGAGCATCATCAGAACATTTAATCTCTAGCTTTATTTTGTGTTTAGGCCTCAGAAATCTTTTGAGCTTGAAGCAAGCATGTCTTTACACTTACCCATCATTATTAAAATCATCCACGGCCACTGAAGCACCAAAGTAAGCACCAAGCTGCTCTCCACTGATGTTAGCACGGTTAAATAGAGTCTTGTCATATACAGAAACCTAGAAATATAGGCAGAAAAACTGCTTCAATAAATGATTTTATAAAGATAATAATGTTAATTTTAAGTCTTTCTAGCCCTTCCAAAAGTCCACTTCTTTTAAATCCTATCTTTTGATCTGGTCATTTTCACACTCAATTTCATTATCAATTTATCAATTCACATAAAATTAATTTACAATTGTTTCTAAAAAAACTCATTTTTATTCGAATCTTTTATATCATATATCATTTTATATAAAATTTATTACTGCTTTAAAAATACTGGATTATTTCTTTATGTCATATTATATTATATCATCATATCACATTGTTCTACCTGGCCCAGTAGTTTATTGCCTCTGGGTACACCTGCCACGAAGTCAGGATCATTGTCTCCCGTGAATTCACCTGTAGCACTGGAGTAACCTAGAAACAAAGAAATCCATAATTAAGTAGTACACCATGATTGTTATTCTAGTAAGAACTGTAGAATTATGGCCCAAGGTGAGAAATTATCATTTTGAATGAATCTAGGAAACTTCATGCTGTCAACAAATTTAAGTTGTTTGAGAATTCATTACGGACTATAAAAAATCATATTATACAGAAAACTGCTTAACCATACTTTCCAGGAATTATTTAAACATATAATTTATATAAACACATAATTTCATTTTACTCAGCATGTAAGCTCATCTAAGAAATTAGTCTCTAGCTTGAGATAAGTTAGCCATTGTTTTCTGTAAGATCAGATATCATAACAAACATCCACATGGGAGATGCTGTAGTTCGGTAATTGAGATGAATAATTTTAGACCATCATAATGGAAAGAAAACATAAAATAGTGCCAACTTCCTGCTACAACAATTAGGGGCTGTATTCCTGACCCGAGATTTCATTATTGCTCAGGACTGTTCAGACATGAACTTTCTTCTGCCTGATATATGGGGTCTTAGACTGGGTTCCTATACTAAGATCAGTCTATCAGGATCCAAGGGGAGATCAATCTATCAGGATCAATCCATCTCCAATGAAGCTGCTAAACGATAATTAATTACCCCCTAGCAGCTTCAGTAGGCGTGACAGGCATCTAAGCTGCTTAAGATGATTGCAATTTAAAGAGAATCCCCTTGAAGATAGATCGATCCACAGCTAGTCTGACAGGGCCTGGGAATGATACCTTAGTTGTTGAGAATAATTATAAGCAGCTAATATTAAGACCCATCACAGAAATGGGCAACTTTTATCAACATACTCTGTATTTTGAAGTCATCTTTTTGAGCATATTATATATTTCTGCTAGATCCTTTACAAATACACACAAATTTCTGAAGTATTCCAGCTGACTTTATCTAAATATATTACCTGGTTTATTTTGGCACTTCTCTCTTTATTTGTTGGGTTAACAGAGAAGAATTGTGTTTTCACTGAAGTTTAATAAGATGCTGTTAAAGCACATCCCTTTAATCTAATTCATCCATATGGTAAAACTGCATTGTGTGCAAGAATCACTGAAATGTCCATATTTTTTACATGTGCTTAAAATGTTCAGGGTACCTTCACGTATTCGTACGGAACTCCTAGATGATGCATTTATGTGTACACACACTTATCTGTACACATAAACACACACACACGGCATGAGTGTATACATGCAGGCTCCTGAGACCAACCCCCACCCCCCCCCCCACCCCCATGAACACCATGTGATGGAAAGGTTAAAATACTGTATCAATTGTTGAATCAGAGACAGTCATTAAAATAAAACCCATGATATAAAATGCGATATTGTATCATGAGAGTTGGTGCATTAGCTCTCATTTGCCCAGAAAGATCAGTTGTGTTCTAACAAGCACTGCATGTTGGATTTATAGTAGTAGATCAATGGCTAATAAAACACAGGGTTAACCTTCTCCCAAATTACGAAAAAGGAAATAATCTCTTTTCTCCTAAAGCCGTTTTTTTCCTTTGTTGATAATGATGCACTTTGAAGTCTCTGCCTTTCTTTTTTTCCATTTGTACACATTTACCACCCTAACAAAACAGATCATGACAAAGAAAAAAAGGACTCTGTCTGATCTTTGCTAACATAATGCCTGTATATAGCCATGACAACAGTTCCCACATGACCATATCTGAACTGATTTGAACTAGATTCAAAGATATTTTAACAAACAGTTCTATAAAGATATTTGCATAGACATTGGGATCTCCAGTGAGGCAATCTGTTCACTTATTTTGCAAGTCGGACTGTATTCGGTTTCAATTATTTTGTGTGAATGGCCCTGACTAATGAGAGCACATTTGAATCGTTTGTCTGTGGACTCACACCATATTCAATTACATTCCTACCACCATCATAGTGCTTGACACTTTCTTTACCTTAAGTAGCTTAATTTTTTTTTTTCAGAAGTCTGTCCATTCCTCCCTAACAAGGGCAGTCTAAATTAACCACCAATGCAGAAGGACAAGTATTTTTTTTTTTTTTTTTGGTCCATGTTTTTTGAAGCTTGAATAACAACAAAGTGGGTACATGACACCAACCGCTTGTCTGTAGTAATCTATACAAGTGGATACAATCAGTTGAGTGTGGTCAAAGAATGGTGGCTACAATTTGTTCCCTGGGTTCACTTTTATTAAACTTGGAGTCTTTCCAGCACCAATTTATAACTGAAAAAGTAAAATCCTTTTTTTAAATTTAAAATCTTACCAATACCAAGCTTTTTTTCATCAATTCAAACAAACAGTTATTTGAATGACACTCTGGGGCATTTTCATTACCTTGAAGAATTACTTCATTCTTGGAAGAATTGAGGATTATCACATCTAAATGCAATGTGAAAATACTTGAGTCATTTTGACTCAGTTTTCCTTTACAATACAAGAATTTCCTTAACAGTCCAGCACAGTACTCACAGAATATTGTATGTGGTTTTTACATTCATCAAGTAATAAAAATCAAGATGTCAGCTGACTGTCAACTTTGCCAGCTATTGCATACAATTACTGTCCAACTACATCAAATCCCAAAACCTCAATCAAAAATTGGCACAAACTTCTCAAATGAGAGCATTCAATTAAAAAATGTACAGTGAAAATTTGGCACGAACTGACTAAAAGAGAATATTCACGAAAAAGTTGCACTAGTCCTGTATTAACTCCTACACTGTGTATCATAAATATGCACTTCATGTTTCCATAGATCCTGTGTCTAGATCTCAAAACTGATAGGATGGATGCTGGCGACATAACAATACTGAAGATGACTGTGTTTATCTATTGGAAACAGTCCACCATAAAAACCACATTGTATCTAGGGTATGCTGCACAAGGTGCTTGTGTGATGTTTGGCGATAATTTGTCTGTTTGTGTTTTGACTTGAGTTTTTTTTTTTTCCTTTTTGGTGTTTATGTGTTTATACGGATCCTTCACCATAAATTTATGTTATTTTTGTTTGAGTTCCGATTCATGTGTATGACACTTATAATTTTTGTTTTTGTGAATGGGTACGTGTGTATGTATGTGTGTGCATGTGAGAGAGATAGAAAAAAAGAGAGATAGAGAAAATGAGACATAGAGAGAAAAGAGAGGGAAAGAGCTGAAAATAAATGAAACTTGACATTTTTGGTCATATAAACTCCCATATTTAGCAATAATTTTTAATACAGTTTCATGTGCCTAATAAAATAAGGGTTCCAATATCAAAAGCCACACATTCCCTGATAAAACACCATCATTAATACTTACCTAAATAACTGTCATCGTATTCCTCTGACCCTTCACTTGTTTTTGGCATGTCTCTTCGGTCGTTCAGATTTATAGAAAAGAGCTGGCCTGTAAAATAATAGCAATGAGTTTGAACTGCTGGTAATTATTATGAAAATCTTTCTTAATACTAGTACTTTCGTTAATACCTGGACTACAGCCAGACTAATTGGAGGGATAATAGAAAGTTGCATTGTACATGTGCTCACCAAGGGTTTCAAAGGATACTGGAAACAGCAGTGGCTAGTAAAGCTGAGTTTCCAGTTTTCTCTTAACTCAGGGTGCATGCATGTACTCAGACCACAATGACTGCCATATAAGATTGCTTAAGATTTTCACTGATCATGTGCAGACATGTACAGGCCTAACCAACTACCAGACTCGGCACCTAAGGATCCTGAATTAACCGGTATATCGGACCACACTACCCGTTTTCAAGGTGTGTGTCAGATCGCATTTCGGAGTATCAGTCAGAACACCGACAGGATGAGCTCACGCTCGGCTGTCACCTTGATTGGATAGTAAACGACTGTCGTATTTAATCGCTATATGATTTTAAAACCGGGTGCATAAATTTGAAAGCCACCTAGATGAACCTTAGACTGCCACATTCATCTAATACAATGCAAAAAAAAGCCCTATCAAAAGTGGTTAAAACATTCAAACCGAATGTCGTAAAGTCCCCATATACCCCCATAGAGACGATGAAATAGAGTACTCTAAAGTAAGAGTACTGTTTAAGGCTGTTCAGCCGAGCGTGGATGGGCTCGCAGTTGTCCTACAAAATTTGTTCTGGGGTATGATACTACGAAATGCTATCTGACACACACCTTGAAAACGGGTAGGTTGGTCCGATATACCGGTTAATTCAGGATACTTAGGTGCCGAGTCTGGTAGTTGGGTAGGCCTGATGTAGATGTAGCTGGTCACAACTACCAGTCACATAAAATTAATATATGCTAGACATATTAACACTAATCTAGTTACAGTAAGACCCCATTTCCATAGATTTTAGATCGATCTATCCCTTTGGGGAGTCTCACTAGATTACTGTCAGCTTAGCCGGCTTAAGCGTCTGTCCCGCCTACTGAAAGCTGTAAGGGGGTAATTAACTATGGTGCGCACTCGGCTGACTGCAATTTAGCTTGAACCCCCAGGGAGTTAGGTCGATCTAAATCTTAATCCTTGGATCGATCTAAATCTCTGGGAATACACCCTAAGTCCATGAGCATCCCTCCTGACATGTACTATTAACACAGCACAATACTAAAATGTAAACCTCATCTCTCTTATTACACAAGTTAAACATTGTTTTAGTCATATTACTATTTAAACAAGAAGTAACTACTGTCTTCCAATTAACTATAATTAACCAAGCAATGAGATACAGTGGATCAGGGCACACTTAATTCACAGTTTCCATCCAGTATTCAATTTGAATGTTTTAGTTTTAACTTTTTAGCCTGAATGTCCCTTTTCTGAAAGATTTACATACATAAATACATTTATCTTTTCATACTTTTCAGCCTTATTAAGTGTAACAGAGGCTTTAGAGAGTGCCACATCTTCTTCAGACACAAGCCTACCCCCGCCACCAAACTTTCTGCATGAAATGATGAATAAGAAGGTTGTCATTCTCTGCCAGGGATTTACTTAGTTTTGTGCTGAAATGTCAGTTCATGGTCTAAGTTAGTCCTGATGTGAACTGAGCAAAGCTAATTTTGTGTCTTATTGGAGGACATTCTTCAGAAATAATTAAGGGCACTGTCCATAAGATGTGACCCCCCTGTTTTTGTAATAAAGATATCCCTATCCCAGCTCTTTGTTCCAGCAATAAATATAATGGACCGATTATTTTTTTTCAACAAAGGAAGCTTTATTCATGAGATTGGCAGTTTAATATGAGCACTTTTTTTGTAGAATTAATATGACAAAGGCAGCAGTTTACACAAATGTGGAAGAAATTTAGTTGGCAAATTAAATATACATTTAGTTGTTTCTACCCATCCTTTTCCTGACATTTAACTACTGTGGCACTTGCATCGTTTTTTTTTTTTTTTTTTAATTTTTGGGCTAAAATATTTCATATTTCCATTTTTACAGGTTATCATGACCACTCATCCGAAATATTATTAACAATCTAAAAAAAATGTCAACATGACAGGAAGTCTTTAAGAGAAAGATTTTATCTCTTTTTTAATGCCTTATACATTTGCAAGTATTTAAAATTGAAAAAACAAGTCAAACTGTGAGAGGACGTGTAAACAAAAAACTTCTCTCCACTGATTATAAGAACCAGATTTTAACCACTTCCATGGCTACCATTTGGCAATGTTTAAATCTGACTGAGAGTCACACAGGCCGAAAAAATGGCCAGGAAGTGGACAAAGGTCATACAAACAAGTGGTTCAGGGCACAGCCTGTGTGGTCAACAGCCCTAAACATGGATATCATAATGTGGTAACAACTTCTGTCCAGTATGCCACCAAACCTGGCCTCTTTCTGACCCCAATAAATTTCTGACCCCATATGAAGAAGAGCCTTCATTTCCTATCATAATTTTGTGTCAAGGCTGTTAAATTCATGTTCATGATAAATATTTATTGGGCTTGCAATGCAGAAAATGTAAACAGTGAAAAATGATTTAACATGTTTTAAATGAATACTTTTTTTCCAATTTAACATTAATTTGGGGTTAGAGAAATAAAGAATAAATAAGCTTAAATTAATGAAAATGCTTCCATAAGCATTACACTCAGCTCAGCAATATCAATTGCAATCAACCTGGTGAGTCCACAGTTTGTCCAGCATGTAAACCAGAGCAGAGTATTAAGGTTCTGCATGAAACAAAAAAACTGTGAATAAAACCCATGGCATTTAATGCAGATAAGAGAACCATTTCCCCTGAGAATACAGCCCTGGGTTCAATTAACATACCTGGTTGAAAAAACTAACACAGGTTTAGGGAAATAAACACCATTTGGGAATGGCTACTGCAGGGACACCCTGAGTTGGCACTGGGGAGATAACTGGTAACAAACCTTTGCATTATCAGTACTATCGACACTGAATGATCCCGAATTCACCAGTAGATCGGACCACACAACCCGTTTTCAATGTGTGCATCAGTATGCATTTCGGAACAAATTTTGAGATGAGATGCACTATTTTCCAACCCCGCTCAGAATCAGCGCTATCACATTGCATACTAGGCAAGAGCAATGTCGCATCTGATACTTTGTAGCGTGTACTGACACACACCTTGAAAATGGATAGTGTGGTCCGATCTACCAGTAAATTCAGGATCATTGGGTGCCAAGTCTGGTAGTTGGGTAGGCCTTCCTGTGTCATTGATGGAAACTGTGAAACACAGGGTGGTAGTATAGCTGGCCATGCAGAAATGGAGGCATGTCAGTGTGGCTGAGAATCTGGTTTCCTTATGACCCCCCTCCCCCAAAAAATTGATAATCCTTAAGAGACAAGGGCCCCATAACTCGGAAGCATAGTGCATTGCGACCGAACACAAGCATCTTGATTCCATAACTCGCCCATACTCACCCCATATAATACATTGTAGCCTCTATGTGATATCGTTATTCGCAATATGCGATGTTTTCTAATAACAGGGCCCAGCCTATAAACAATTAAATTGTCATCTTACAAATTTAGTCTTGATAACTTACCTTGCCAGTAGTAGGCTCCGACAGCACCAACCAACAGCCTTTCTCCATCCTAAGTGATATTAATAAAAGACATAAGTTTAAGTTATCTTTGTAGCCATTATTACTGCAGAAATAAATATGGTTCTTTACTGATTATTAACCCAACATGACAGATTATTATGCAACATACTGGTATAATATAAAAAATATCACATAAAACTAGTGGTAAAACATACAATAGATTATTTTGAAGTACAATATTGAAATAGAAAGATTATAAATGCTTAGATCTAACAACCCCAATCACCAACTGCAAACCTTGGTATATAAATTTAAGTACAAGGTGGAAAAGCATTCAAGAGAAAGGTAAAAAATGGTCCACCGATTCTCGTCAAAATATTTTAACGATTGTATTCAGAGGCATCAGAAGTTCAAAGCACCAGTAACATTGCAACACAGTGACAACTTCACTACCAATCATTTACCTTCATTTTGGCAATTCATTCATTCATTTAAAAAGGTCTACACAGTATGCTTATTTATGATGATTAGAATTTAATGCACAAAGATAATAGTTTTTTAGAATCACCTAATATTATAATATGCGAATTAAACTTCTAGCAAATAAATCATAATTTTCTAGAGCATCATGGGTTGATATTTGTTTTTAATAATAAGCCCTACTACTAAAAATGAATAAAAGCCAAATTTTACTATGAAAAATTAATATTTTGGTTATGGAGTATTTATAAGGAGATATTCAATTATATAATGACAGGTACACTGGATTTTATAAATACAATTAATATGTGAAAACACTATAAATTTCATAGTGCTGTGAAGCAATTTTATTACTCTATCTGTTGTTAAATAAATAATTGTTATGTATCTAGTTAACATAAATAGAATGGCTGTGCACAAATAATAATTATCATACCACGTCTAGTTTCAAAGCTTCAACCAAAGTGATACAAGAACATACCTTTTTAAGTGTAGATTCAGCATTTAAGAACCTAGTGAACAAACCAGATGATTTTTTTTCCAAATCAATTCCAATAAATGTGGTTTTTCCATTAGGCATAAGAGGTAACACTTTTCAGAGGTGAAAATAATCAATAACTCATTAGACACCTATCAATAGTACTTGGGTGTGCCCCCATTATTTATTGGTCTAAACTGAATTTGGTTTTTAGATGGGGCCTACATGTAGGTATAGCTAACATTCATCAAGCTTGTGAAGTGTTTGTTTTCATGTTTATGAAGCTGAATGCCATTCCCAGATTTCTGTATTCACAAGCTGAAAGCTGCTTTTCATTTCCTTTTTCTATTAATTCTACATTTTCTGAAGTCTCTCTCTCTCTCTCTCTCTCTCTCTCTCTCTCTCTCAACATAGGTAAAGATATTTTTGTAAGGGGGGGGGGGGGGCACTTCTATTATTATTATAGCTTCAGCACTAACAGCACCCAAGCTGCTCCTGGACACATGTAATATGTACTAGTAATAACCCATATATACAAGTACAGGTATGCTGCCTGTATTCCCCTCTTTCTGACTAAGTTTCCCTGGCCTACAGCTTATATTGACACCTTCCAGACCACTTCAGACAAAACTTGACATCTAAAAGACAAGAACACTTTGAATTTCCCGGAGAGCCATTAAAGCGAGGAACAGCTAGACAACCTGATGGATTAATTTCCCAGAAATCAATTGGGCAACAAAGAAAAGATTTCCATCACTGTCCAAGTAGCTGTAAATTTTCAAGAAAGTAATGAGACATCACAGGAAGACGGGGGTCTCTGGTGACCTAGGAATTCAATTTCCAGGAATATATTGCTCTGTCAGCTAAGACTTAACCTGCCAGTTTAGAAAGTGCAAAAATTATTACATGTACACCAGAAAGACATGCCCACTGATGATCTGAAATATATCTTCTTACTTAGCAATATTCAGTGTCACAGACCTTTTGCCAGTAATTTTTAGATGGGTCATCTTTTGGTAACAGTAATTATTTCACATGACATAAAATCCAATTTGTCGTTTATTTATCATTAAAATTGAAATACAGGCAATCCTCAAATGCATTTCAGCTTGGGCAATGATTTTTCACTACGGAGGTTATTTCTCATTTTTTTCTTCAGTCTCATAAGTGCAAACATTGCCTCATTTAAAAAAGCTTTTCACTAATCACCAAACCCCACAATTCCCCAGATGTTGTCAACCCCAGGGGGTTCATCTGATGAGGCAGATTAAAGACATGATTAAGTCATGTTACCTGAGCTCACACCTGGGGAACTCTCCCACTATCTGTACCTTCCTGCCTTACACCTGTTCTATCTGCCCTGCTGCCAAATATCTGACTCAAAAAATGTGGGATTATCTTTGTCATAAGCTCTGGAGCCAGCTCATAAAAGAACTTGAGTATTACCAGAATTCAGCATGAGCATGCCTTCAATACTTGCCTGATATGTGTGTAGACCTGGACATTTTCCTTTCTAAATTTGCCAGCCATTGAAAAAAAACTAGCACCTGCAGTCTTCTACCTTCTATAATATAACACATGTTCTCAGTGCACTACCTAACACATGACTGAGGAAAGTTTGACTTATCTTCATAGGAGACTCATCAAGTTTTTTTATATGAGTCTGATATTTCTAGAACCTTCTAATTCATTCTTCTTTCTGTATATTCCCAAATTCTACTCATTAGCAAGAATTCAAAACAATTTAAACTTGAAATTTTATTGTTGTTCAACTTGATTATTTATCAAATCAAATATTCATTTTTATCATGCAGCTTAAAGGGATAATAACTCTTCGTTTTAGCCAAAAAAATGAATTTTCCTGCAGTAAATAACAATTTTCCCATACTTACCAATGGTTAATGAATCCATTTTTACATTCAAAGTTAGTCCCTGGTTTTTTTTTCTAAAAAGTTTGTTTTTTTTTGTTATAATCTCTTAAGAGATTATAACAGAGTATAGCCATCAATGGAGGTCATGTGGTCTAAAGACAAGCTCAGATATCAGAATAATAGCTATAACTGCAGTTTTTGTGGTACAACAGAATATATTATATTTCTATGAGTTGTTCAAAATGTTTTGATTATGAAATATAGATATCATATGAAGAGTTATTATCCCTTTAATGCTTTGTTCAAAGTACAACACTTTTGTTTCCCTTAATCAATTCTTCATTCTCGACCAGATTTCTATTATCTGTTCTTACCACACATCTGAGTCAGAAAAATGAGACCTTATCTTCATTTCCTTCAGCTTTTCAGCTAGGTACATTTTTTTCCTTTGGGGAGAATTTTTATTTCACACTGTCTGACTATGTTATGACTAAATGCATATCAATTTCTTTAAAATTCACTAAATCATTCCTACTTCCTGACATAGAACACATTTTGATAACAAGTTCTTGCTTAATTCTGTCTTTTTTTATAACAAGGTAATTATTTCATTAGGCACTTATGTACAAGTAGCTTAAATCCCTTTAATTTGGTGGATAATTGGATTTCAAAACAAACTAGGAAGTCTCCCCACATACTCTAATGTGTGTATATCCTCACTTGTCTAGGCCCATATCTGCCTTATACAGAGCTCCATTTATTAGGGAAAATGTTGCGATGAAACCACAAAAACCAAATCCTGAAAGGCAGACTTCTGATATCATCTCTCTATCTCCCATACTTTTATGTCCTTTTCCTGTCTGCATTACACTAGTACATCCCAAACTGCTCTCTCTCTCTCTCTCTCTCTCTCTCTCTCTCTCACACACACACACACACACACACACACACACTCTCTCT